TATACCGATTTGTATCATATTTCACCACAGGGTGTTCGAAATATCGTATCCTTACGAAATAGTTTACAGTCAGTTGATATTTTTGTCGGTTCACACCACCACCTAAGTCATAGCCTACTTACTAGAACAATTTTATCGAAAACTAAAAGTTTAATATATTATAGGATATTAAACGGGATTACCTTTTTTTCCTTAAAAATAATCAATTTAACAGCGGCTACTAACGCCCTCCGCGAGCAACCTAGAAACTGAGTTCAGATTCAAATTTATCACTCCTCAAGAATGTATGTAGATGTAGATGAACAAAATGTTTTCCTTGCGGAGAGATCGTGTTCTGATAGTTTTTTCTGTTTTAAACAACTTAAAATTTATTGGCTTGCAATGTCTTAAAAAGGAGGTGAGCAACCTCTACATCCTTAAATTTTTAAAAAAAATTATTCAGCGTTTGGATCACAATGTGGATATTAAATACGTACAAATATTAAATAAATTAAACATTTTATATAAAAATATTTACATACCTTAATGATATTTTGAACAAATGAAGAAACTTTTGACTTCGTTTATATAAAAAGTTTGTAAATATTTTTATATTAAATGTTCAGTTCAATTTATTTATTTTTTTAGATTCCTCCAGGTATTTAGCTTTCATCAATATGGCAATCAGTCATGTCCCTCTCCGCCCTCCTCAAACAATATATGAGCAAGTACAGAGTTGAATGCGAACCAATTTGAGTTAAGCTCTCAAAACAAAACAAAAAATACTTTTTATTTTACATTGAAACTAATGTGTCATACAGGGTTCTTTAGTTCTTTAGGTTCTTATTAGTTTAGTGACTAAGTAATAGATGGCGTTTCTCATGAAGTGACCCCAACGACCCCCAACCACGTCACATCTGACAAGAAAACAGAAGAACACGATTTCCGAGCACGCCAGAAATGAGTTGTAATGTTTTAGTTGTTATACACTGTAATTAATAAATAATACTTTAATAATATCTGTACTTTACTGCTGCGAAAATAAGACAAAACAACTAAAGAAATTCTACAATTTACATTTTTGACATTCTTTACTTTTATTTCGTTATTTACTCCGATATATTTATTTTCGAATAATTAATTTATTTTTTATCCTTTTGCAGTTTTATCTACTCATTTATTTCTCCGAGGCTCACAGATGGAATGCTTTTTTTAAGATGTTTGCTAAAACCAATGGTGAACTATAAATCTTTGCCTTAAATCTACATCCTATTAGACTCTGTGTAATTTTGAAATATTTCACTTTTCTCTGTTTCTTTTTTTTTTATTAATGCTTTCTTCAACATGAACATTAATGAACATATCAAATCCACACATATATATCCATAATTTTCAAAAACACCTTGGTTAAAATTTTTTCGTTTTCTTCGAAACTGGTGGAATTGTTAAATAAATATGTTTTTTATTTTTTTCAAGAGAACGCTATTAACCTTTAAATTTTGCAACTTTGCAATTTTGCAAGATAGACATCCTTATTTTGAACACATTGTATATTGACATCCAGAATTTGCGATTTCCATATGACATTTTCATTATTTGCGCCAGTTTTCCTCGATTCCTTCTAGCATAGTGGTATCATCAACGTGTCTCAGTAATCTCTGATGTAAATGATTATAGAATATTCTAGTGAATTAACCAATTTTCACTGCACTTCACGCGTCACTTTTTCCACTTCGCATGGTGGCTGAATTATTTAGCTACAACAGAATTTCAATTCTGTTAGGAATTTGCAATCTACACGGCAGATATTTGCGACACCGAGCAGATAGTTATAAGACACCCAATTAACGAGATAGCCAATTAGTTCCTGCTTTTATTGTTATTGCACGTTATTTGGTGTCTCCCATAAAGAAATGATTAGATTAGATTTATTTGAAGAAAAGCGCCAAATTGATGCCTTTATCCCGTTTTAATAACGAATTTGCTTTAATGTTTTTTCGTCGCCGACATTGTAACGAACAGTGACAGCCCAACATACAAGTAAGTAATAATTTTCGTATCTTGAGAATGTTTGAAAGTATCCAGATTTGGACCGTTGTTCCTTTTCATATTAAAAATTACAAATCAAATTGTTTTGATGTATGATGAATGCGTTGGTTCTTCCTCTTCAGCTGCCATCTTCGTTGCGAAGGTGGCCAATCATCAGAGCGAAGTTTGACGCGAACTAAATGTTAAACATTACAATTTTTTTACTTTTACTTACTATTGAATTTCGTCGTATCAAAATGAATCAGTGGTGTCTCTTTTAAGTGTAATTTTTATGTTTAAGTGATTTTAACACTATAATTTCTACTCACGATGGTAAGAACTTCATACTATTAGTCCCGGACATCTTAATTGTATTTTATATGATTTTTTTCCATATCCTAAATTATTGCTAGCATACGCAGACTACATAAAAGGCACAGGGATAGAATAGAGCAAAAGATAACTTTGAAAGAGTAGAACGTTTCAAATACTTTGGAGCCTTTGCTGATAACGACGTCGACGAGGAAATACGCATTTAACGACCCTATCAGATCGCAAGGCATCACAAAGACATCCAATACTCAAACAAATAAGACAATTATCAGGCCAATAATAAGATATGTATGCGAAATCTAAGCATAACCAAAGCAAATCAAGCAAAAATTCAGACTTTTCTATTAGTCCCGGACATCTTAATTGTATTTTATATGATTTTTTTTTATGATATTTTTTATATGATTTTTTTCCATATCGAAAATTATTGCTAGCATACGCAAACTACATAAAAGGCACAGGGATAGAATAGAGCAAAAGATAACTTTGAAAGAGTAGAACGTTTCAAATACTTTGGAGCCTTTGTTTGCTGATAACGACGTCAACGAGGAAATACGCATTTAACGACCCTATCAGATCGCAAAGCATCACAAAGACATCCAATACTAAAACAAATAAGATCAGGCCAATAATAAGATATGCATGCGAAATCTAAGCATAACCAAAGCAAATCAAGCAAAAATTCAGACATTTGGAACAAAAAATTATCCGAAAATTCATTGCAACTATAACCCAAACACCGACCGATATAAAATAACAACTAACGCCGAAGTCTAAGGGCTCTACAACGGTAGTGACATTATTCAAGAGATCGAATCCCAACGACTAAGATGTTAGTTCAGCAATGGCCTTCAATAAACCGACAAATCTATCTTCATGTTGCCTTATGACCCACCAGCGAGGCTGAATTTGTGTAAATAAGTAAATCACGCTGATGGAGATGATAATGATGGTTTTCTAAGCAACATGCTTTTTGCGGACGGAGCCACTTTTACCATCAGTAGTAATTCCAATTAGAGAAACCATCACATTTGGAACCACGAGAACCTTTATTTGGTGAGAGAAATACATTTTCAATAAATATTTGGTGCCATTATTGGTGATTTTATTATTTGGTCATATTGGGTCAGCGCTATTTAAAATTGAAGCGATATTTGCAATTCTATTTGAATACATTTAATTGCAATTAGGCAAAACATATGGGTTATGCAGGATGGTGCACCTGCCCATTATACCCCATCGGTGCTAGAATTTCTGGATGAAATTTCCTTGGCCAACTGGTAGCCCTCAACCGCATGGATTTCTACTTTTTGGGCCAATTGAAAGATTCAGTTTATAAGAAAGAAATCACAACTTCTAGACTTCTAGATTCACGAACAAGATGATGGCTTTCGGAACAAAGAAGTGATTTGATGTCTAGATTGATCCAATTGATATGTTCTTATTTTTGCAGAGTGGCTGTATTTTAATTGATTTATATTGTAGAATTTCTTTTTTTTTTTGTTTTTTTTTTTAATCCACTGCCAATTTCTTCAGCATAATAATCATGTTCAGTTACTTCTAACCACGAAGGTGGCTTAGAAGGTCCATGACTTCTGCTTCCTTGCCCAGTTGTTAATCGATAATTCAGTTATGTCTTTCAGCACCTGGACCTTCCACCTCACCTTAGGTCCGTCCTCTTCTATTCCTCTCCCAATTGCATTTTATAATATTTTTTGGTTAATCCATCTTTGTTTATCCGCTCTGTGTGTCCTCTCCATTTTAGTTTATAACTAGAGCTTTTGCAGTTCCTTGTTTTTTTTTTTACAACGGTCACCAACTTTCCTTGCTTTGAGATGTTTTGTAAATAATTTCTTTCTTTCTTCAAACTATGCGATCCTAAGAAGCCAACAGGGGGCAAGCACGTTTGATTCATCAACAACCGTTGCAGTGGAAGTTTCTTTGAAAAATTAAAAACAAGACGTTCATGTAATAGCTTCTTTTCAACACGGTAAATTCTCCCAGATTTACTACGTAAAATAATTGTTTTTGTCCCATGGTATTTTTGAATATTTGACCTACTTAACATAAACACTTCCAGAACAGTCTCTCTGCGTTGCATACCATGTTTGCCGAATGGAATCGACTTAGTATCGACTTATTTTATCGAAAGCTGGAATATATTAAATATCATTTTTATAATAGCATATCAGGTGCATTACGAAATGTAATTGATATCTAAAGCTGCATAATAATCTTTTTAGTTTGTAATTAAGTTTGTAGCTGCATTGGAACTGGGATTTACGTGTGGATTATTTTATTAAACAAACCAGTAAACAAATCTCGTGATAATGCAGTCGTTATTGATTATGTGAGTTTAATTGATTTAAGGTAAATAGATTAAGATAATTATTTCACTACATTAACATACAAATTATACTTACATCACGTCCACGTACAAAAACATATATACGAATAAATAAAAATAAATAAAACAAACAAAAAATATATCGATCACAATGAAGATCACTTCCTCTACAGAATAAAAACAGTGTTCCATAAAAAATGGTTTTATATTGGTTTTTGCAATTTTTAAATGGCAAATTTGTGACCTGATTTGTAATTAGGTTATATAAGCTGAGATCCAGAGAATTTGTCATTGTCTTAGTGTATTTAAACTTCCTAATTCGAAGCAAATTTGAGGAGGACGTGGGATATCCACGATTATCTGACTTGGGTGTGATAGATGTATACCGATCGGAGTGGCATAAACCATAGTTTCTGAAACAGGCTACTGTATATCTATATCTAATCGCCCTTTTTTGCATACGCATGCACATTATAACACCACATATCATAATTCTAGGCACAAGGAGCCGAAAAATAATATGATATTACACCCAGTGCAATGGGTGGTTTTTTGTACCCATTAAATCCGCAGTATTCACGCACATTTATGTAATTTATGCAATACAAACTTTCTTTTGTCGGATGAGTGTCGATTTACTAATTGGGCTGTAAAAACTTAAATCCTGAGAGATATTCCTCCTTGTACAAACAAACATAACACAAGATCTTACGAACCTTCCAGTAGTGGCTTTGCAAGAAGTGTTTTCCCAACAAGACGGCGTACCATCCCACAAAGCACAGATTATTACGAACTTTTTAAATGCAGAAATTTCCAATAGGTGGATGGGCAACCTGGGACCAGACAGAAGGTCTGCGATTGATTTCTTTGTAAGGGGTCACCTCAACTTCAAGTATTCAGTAGGTCTTACGGAAATGTTAGAGACTTATGAAAAGCTGTCAGTATCCATCACTATGCAAATGTTAAGACAGTCCAGGGAAGCAGTGTTGAGAAGTTGTATGTTATGCGTGCAACAAAACGTCGGATTATTTGAACACTTACTCTAATTTTATTGTAAAATTTTGTGCATTTCCTTCGTTTTATTATGCTTAAAGGACGCAAAGAACCTTTAAAGATATGAATGAAAATTTTAATGACTTCTCTCTATCTTGTCTCTTTTTCGTCAATTTTATTCACTCCTTTCTTGTCCACCATTATCCTGAAATCATATTTTTTGTTGTCTTTTAAAAATTTTAGTGTGGTGTTTTAAGTTTTAAGGTAATCCAAATTTAGATAGACTTTTCGAAACTTTCATGCCAACCTCTCTTGGTATTTAATATAGGACTGGTAGAGTTCAAAGTTATTTTAAACTGTTTTTTTTTGTTGTTATAATCTGTTTTATGAAAATACTCTCTGGAAATAGAAAAAAAAAAACGGTTCCAAAGAGCCCGCAGTACTTTTATGAAAATGAGACAAGTATTCTGAAGTAGAGATCTGAACTTTGACTGAAAATACGGCTCCTGGGATGTCATGTTAAAGAGAAACGATGAGAAAAAAAATAAGAGCTTTACATCTCTGAGTATATCGCAGATAATTACGAATTTCATGGGTACAGAGAAGAACCAGTTTTACCAAAGTGAATAAAAAAAGAGAGGAAAGTTGTAATGACTATTAAAAAGAAGAAACATGGAACACATTATAAGGGGAAACAAATATCAAATACTTCAACTCATAATGCAAGAAAAAATTAGTGGAAAAAGATCAGTGAGAAAGAGAAGAAGAAGAAGAAGGAGAAGAAGACTAAGAAATTTGCGCGAATGGATCAACGCCACCACCAGTACCAACTTGTTCAGAACAGCAGCAGCAGCAGTCAGAACGCATGTTTTGATGACTGCGAACCTTCGGAATGAAGAAAAAGAAGATCAGAGAAGGTTTGTAATTTTTTGTTTGGGGAAAGAGGTTTATTAAGTAGTCCGCGCTTAAAAGAATAAAAGGCTCCCATTTTGAGTGTTGAGGGTGATTTGAGATATTACGTGTTACTGTGTCCGCGAGCGAGAAACTATAATTTGTTCTGTAATTTGATTGTAGGTATATTGTAATATTTTTGTTTGATGAAGACAGAGTGTTGCCGAAACAGCTGCGATAAACCATTAAATAACTTTCAAAATGAGAACAGATTTGTTCTAGTTAATAAGCAAAACGCCTCCTCGGTTTGATATCTAATGATATCTATTAAACTTTCAAAACAGGGGATTTTTATTTAAAAGTATACCGCGTTTTGACTTATCTGTTCGTCGAAAATGTTTTTATTATGGCACATTATCGCTATTGTTATCCCAACCTAATCTTTGACTGATTTTTCGATTACCTTTGATATCATAAATATAAGTACTTTTTAATCGCAATGCATAAATCTTTCCTAACATCAATTTATAACGAAATGGATCGGATTAAAAATTACGTAAATTAAATGATACGTTTCTTTTTGAAATTTTCAAATTGCCGGAGCGATTCGATTAAAGTGGATGGGGTTCACTTGACTAATTTTTTTAAGATGGCGGGGCTTCTGGTTACACCGAAAATGGCTGGTGGTCGTTTATATGCGTCATCCTTAAATAGCCTTAAATATTTTTAGAGTTTCCTAATTAATTAATATGTAAGTAATAATATATAAATTATGGAGTGTGAATATGTGTTCAGATTCGAAGTAGTTAAATGTTATTTTCTTGGTTTGTATTTCGTTGGAGTTTAGCTTTCTATTTAGAAAAGTAAATAATTTCCAATTTTTATTCTGACTCGCAGAGTTGTCCATCCATACTACTATGTAGTGGGCACCTTTAAGAAACTTTAAAAAATCATGGATGCTATGTCCGTCTGAGCGTTTATCTATTACTTCATGCCAAACTACGGCAAACGTGTCGTTCAAAGTCACTAACGTTTGAATGAAAATGACTTTTTTAAACATATCAATCTTTTGACTGTCACCTTTCTACGGTACGTTTCGTAGGAAACTGTGCCTCCAGGAAATTTTTCCTGGAAATTTTGATACCTAAATGTAATGGTCACGTCACTACCAAGATGCTGTGCTTCATACGTGTGACTTCAGTGTTGAGAGATTCGATGTGAGCATATTTCTGTGACGCCTATATTTCCAATGGAGCCTTGTTCTATGCGTTATGGTGAGGTGGAGCGAGCTGACCTTTAGGAGTACTTGATAATGTGTCATGTAGAATTCTGGCACTACTGTCTTTATCTCCTAAGGCAGTTGGAAAGAACCTTTATGCTTGCCAATTATGCTGTCTTCCGTTTTTCGCGAAGATTAATGTTAAATCATCAATACATTTAAACCGTACACAGTAGTAAAATTCTGGCGATCTTGTGTTGGTTTTACCGAATCTTGACAGAGTGTTGCACCGCTCATCCAAACTCACGTGACTATTGATGATTTGACTGAGAAGGGATAATATCATCAACATTTTTCAATTTTTATAAAACCTTGAAGTGAATTTTGTGATGCTAAGCGTCTGTCTAGTTGCTGGAGAGTTCCGAAAACGAAACAGGAATATAATTTCTGATAAACGCTTTTGTTGATTTAGTGTTTGGTTTATTGAGTTTGAAGGGCCTTCCGTTTATGATAGGTTGGGCAAATCATAACCATTTGTCGTTTGACGGGCTATATAATTGGGTACTTTCAGTAGGCGATAGAGAAAGAATGTAATGCTTTCTTATCTTATCAGAAAATAGAACGCACCAGAACTGGATATTACTCTAGCTTAACACGAATTCTCTAAACAAAACAAATTGCAGATTAGAATGGTCATGATTTACATGCGATATCGTTTATCGATATTGCAATATTCTTGCAGATATTACGTAATTGTGCGTGTGCACTGTTTCCCAAATTATTCCATATCTTTGGAGTATAGGAAAAGATACTAACCAGATACCAACGCCATTGCTTGAATTAAAATGTTTTAACTTCTTTAGATTCCATGATAAATTATGAGCTTCCTGAGCTATTTCCAAAATAGAAATGATTTTTTAGAGAATTTGGCAAACGTCTTCTTCTCTTCTACTCGTTTCGTATGTTGGCCACCTCGGGTATTATGATCTTGTTGACCGCTGCTGAGTGGTAAAAAGAGACAACCGTTTTCTTGATCCAAGTCCTCCATCCCAACAACTTACCCTACGAAATTCGTTGCGTCTGGCTTCCGGTTTCCAATTCTTTATGTAGGATTTCTTTATTATTGATTCTTTCATTATTGTGTGATGAATGGTGACCTGGCTTTTACTCTCTTCTGTCAGATTTCAACTGAGTCATCCCACTGGTCATTAATATACGTTTCAAGGTAAGCTTGAGACGCGTCGGATATTGTTGATGCTGGCATTCTTACCTATTATCTTTTTGACATTAGAGTTAAGCCCCAACTTTTTACTGAAGTTGTAATCAGCGTCAATTTTTCGTGTTTTGCTCTGTCTGTTTGCTTTCTGATAGTCGGTGAAGTAGATTGTATAGTGTGGTCGTTTCAGTGTAACCATATCAGATTTTCTGTTACTAACTGCACAAGTAAAATATATATTGCGAAAAGCTGCCATAAACCGCGAAATACTAAAATGAAAAACTGAATACAGGACCTACTAAAAGCTCAAATTATTCAAAATAAATGCAATTTAAAAAATTAATTTGCCAATTCAATTTATTTGTAAAATTAATTAAGGATTTTAATTATTTAGCGAAACACAAATTTGTTTGTATTTTCGTTTGTTGGGACGATATTTAATAATACTTAAAAGCTTTATAAAAATTCTTTTTAATTAATCAATTAACTTAAAAGTCATAAACCTTATTTTACTATTGACGATTTAAAGATTACTAATAAATACTTCCAATATCACACTATGAATACATAAATATTGCCCATAGTGAAAATCAAAAATTTTGACAATTAACAACATAAATTGTGTGAAGGTTATAGCGCTGGATCTCCCACGTTTCCTGGTATATGAATGTTTCCAATAAAGTAAATGGTATTCGCGAAAACACTTCTTTTCTGGAACCACGTCGTACTCGTATAGATTAAGCGTGGGAAAAAGTGATTTTCATTTTGATTTTTTCAAATATCTATCCCAGCATATGTAATATGTATATGTAAAGATTGTAGCTTTTGGTTAGGACTGTAGGACTGTACCAACCATATGACCATATTTTTTACGAATATGTACTCTCTAAAAGAAAAATTTCAGGATATTATATATTTCTGTCTATAAATATAAAATAATCAAGAAAATGCCTGAAATAAACCTTATTGCCATGGATCTGCATTTCCTGCTTCAAGAATTTTTTCGATCTGGTAGACATTTTTGGGGAAAATAATTTATTTCTGAAAGTCAAAATAAACCAAAAAAAAATCAAAAATTTTTCAAAAATACTCAAATCTGTGGTCGATGGCTGCAAATTTAGGACACCTGCTATATTTCTTAATATATCTTGAATCGCATTAGGTGAAAACCTTAAATACAAAAGTTTTAGCTCTAACTATACGGGCTATATTGTCATGTTAAAGAATCTGACACCTGAAACATAGTATTTTAAGTATAGCGACTTTTCCACATGCACCTTAATATTATCATCTTCTCGTCGAAAAATTTTTACGCAGACAATTTTTGGAGAAATGTTTTTTTTCCAAAACCCTTGCCAACGTGATTTTTTATTTATAAAAGATTTGATTTAATCGATTTTTCAAAAGCAACAAAATACAAAGGACTCATCCCTTCTAAATAAAAGTCTTTAATTTTTTTCATTTAAAGCTCAGTCGCCATCATTTTCCCACTACATTGAAATTATTATGGACTCTATTTCGTTACAAATGGTTTTGTTATAACACTCTAAAATAATTTTGTTTGTATGTTCCACACCGTTTTTCCAAATCTCTCGTGTAATTTTTAATAGAATTTCAATTCATATAGCTAAAAAATTGTCATCACTGCGACCATGTTTCCCGATATGTCCATCGTAATACTGCTTGCGACTATATTAACTCAATAGCATTGAATTCACATTTGCGTGGAGAGATACGAGGTATTTCATGACCACGACTTCTATCATCTATCACATATTTCGTTTCATTGCCTTTTCTGTCCATTACTTCCAATAATTCTAGTTTTGTTAATGATGACCCAAATTCAATTTTGATTTTAACCACTCACTCCTTTTCTGATGTGATACGGAGCATTTTCCATTATTATAACCGACAGCTCTTAAAAGTTGCTAAGTAATTTTTCTATTAAACACCTAATAAATATCTCGCTATTCATATCGCCATGGTAATCTGCCGATTTTGACCTGGAACAAAAGACTAAATTCATGCAAACGGAATGAATTATGTTTAGATATCCCTAGAAAAAGAAATGTACTAAAGCTAGGTGAAATCCTCTTAGCCATGTGGGAATAATTAAAAAATGAAATGGTGTGTCACCCGGTCAATCTTGAACTGAAAACTGCATCAGACCTTCAACTTAAAAAAAATATACAAAGCATAAATTATACCCTAATTTAACTTTTATTTTGACTTGTATAAAAACTAACGGTACTTGGTCTGACAATCTATCTTTACAAATAATTGTTATTGCAGCAGATCTTATAATTAATCACCTGACACACATAACAAATATATGCAGTAGATGTCCAATATTCAAAAAATTTGAAACCCCACTGATAAATGACAGTTAATAGCAATTGACAAATTGGAGACTTCTCATTCAAGAAGATTATCCCGGAAATCTTTTGGGATTTTCACTGCGCTTAGTAAAATGATTTGTTTTGAGAGAGTGATCCATATAAATTGTCTTATTATGGTGTAGAGCAGAGCAATTGATACTGTCGATATTGAAATTCTCAGTACCCAGGTATATCTTCACAAAAATCTTCTAATGTTAATAATAAATGAGGTGGAGTTTAATTTGAAGCAAAAAATCTGTGGCTATGGATTCATACTAACCAGGCAATTGGCTCTATCAATAGTCGCATTAATTTATGACCAGGCTTTAGCAGTGAAGGATAGGGACCAACTCCAGATAGTTCAGAATGCATTGTTTAAATTTCGTCTGAAGCTTAAACCTTTGGACGATGTTTCGTCTATTATCTGATTTTTTTTTAAAATTTGTCATCATTAAATTATAAAGTTTCTTGCCATATTGGATAATAAGAACACAATATTAATAAAACAAAACAAGTTTCTTGCGACTAAGGGACGATATCTGCTTTTTAATGCATTTAAGCGACATTAGCGTATATCATTTTCGGTAATTGGAGGAATTTGCCGTTGCACTATTCGATATGATAGCGCTACCAGCGAAAACACTCTAAACGCGACTGCGATTGCTACAAGTTGAATTTATTTAAGTGGAGTGCTTGACGCTTCAAACGGGTAAACAGATATGCAAAATAAAAAAATATATATACGGACAGGGAAACCTATGTATAAAGACACAGCTTATGTATTTTTTGTGGAATTAAATAATAACAATGATAATAATATTGAAAAAAACTAATATAAGTAAATACATTACACAAAATTAAGTAATAACTCGTGGGCTCTACTTCTGTTACACATTTTGAAATTGAGCCAGACAGATTTGCAGGCTTTATATCGTAAAATATGGACCAAGATGGTGAAATATCTGGAATCTGGAAATTGCATACTTGCATACAGCGATAGTGACAGCTGACAAAAACTACTTTCCGCTGAACCTGAGTTTGCAACTCCTGAAATAAAAAATAACATTTCAAGGCTAGAAGAGGAATGGGGAAATAAACAACTACACTCGATATCTTACGGAGGGTTGTCTAAGACCTGAAACAGAGGGATTTATTCAAGCAATTCAAGATCAGGTAATGGCGACAAACGATTACTTTAAGTATAACCAGAAAAAAGACTTACCCGATGACCAGTGCAGGATGTGCGGAAAAACACAGCGCCAAGGGACTACACGGAACGGCACAACAGAATTGCAGGCATATTCCACCAAGAAATCTGCAAAAAATATAATCTGATTAATACAATAACACTGGTTTATAAATACTTACCTGAAACTATAACGAACAATGAAAGTATAAAAAATTCTTGGGACAGGGAAATGGTAACGGATAGAGAAAACTGTCTCGAAAACAATTATAGGTCTTGCCTGTAATTCTATCAACATACACAGCGAGACGAGTTCTGGCCGAGGGTCATGAATGTCTACAACATCATTCTAGTTCAAATCATCCGCTAATCTTTCAAGCTTGTCAAAGTTAACTCTCATTTGGGTCCTACTGTTTTGTGAGTTAGAAGTACTTTCATCTGTACCGTTAGCCCTACATGAACAATTTATAAGACTGGCAGATGGTCAACAATTGCAGCCGGAACCTTAAATGTAACATTAATTTTAGTTTTTAAGAACACATGATCTAAACATGTTCAGGACTTTGTTCTAGTGACGCCTTGGTATACAAGATGTTTTCTAATTGAAGGTCAATAATGAGGAGGGCGATTTTTGGGTCCATTTTAAAAAGAAAGCTTCATGTGAACATATGTCCTAAACGTGTTAGCTTTTGAGATACAGGGTGGTAAAGCATTTGAAAACTGAAATATATATTTTTTAACATCTTTAATGCCAATTTAGATGTTTTAATGAAATTCGGCACACATGTACAATTTTTGGACGTACGGAATTGTACGTCTATTTTGCCAGACATTGACCAACCGTTTCTAAAAAAAATTGATTTCTTGTTTTTTTTTTTCAATCCGATATAGGGTTTTCGCTATAAAAAATGAAAACTCTCTCTCTGCGTAGTTATGCGGTTGTAGAATTTGAACCTCAAGAAGAATTTTCGGTAAATGCTTGGGCTGGAATTGTTGGAAATTACTTATTTCAACTCTCTTTCTTTCCAGAAAGGCCGAATGGTCATAATTCTTGCCTGATTTTAGAAGACTATTTGCCAATATTGATAGAAGTGCCACATCTATTTAGAAACAAATAACCCATTAATAATATTATCAACCCATGTTAACCCATGGGTAGATCGCAGCGGACCTCAACCATGCCCCCCGAGGTCCCCAGATTTAAATAGTTTGGACTTTTTCTTATGAGGACATGCCGGTATAAGAACTTCATGCGATTTAATGAGAAACACTGGAGGTGTGCTTTAAATAGTGCGCGGCAATATGAGGGAAACAGCTGAAGCCCGTATCCTTCAAATTGGAGGACACTTTCAACAACTTATCTAGTTTCTATGTTTCACTTCGTTTCCAAAAGTTTTTTATTAATTTATTAATCTAAAATTTTGTTAAAAAAATTATTAGTATCATTAAATCATTTATTATTTATTTTGTTGTTGTTAGGACGTTGTGTTATTTGATTAAAACTATAAAAGTGAAAAGAACAGTCACTAGTTTGGTAACTAATAACTGGATATTTCGTTTCACAAAAAATGTTTTTAATTTAAGCAGTGCATAAAGGGCTTGTCAACTTAAAATAACTAAATTGCTGTTCAGGTAGCAAGTTTTGGAATTGAGGTAGAAGCTGATAATCCACCACCTGATTCCGATTAAATTTTATCTCGAGCCAATTTTTCCGGAACGTACATGTTATTATTTTCCCCGAGACAGTATATCATCACTAGGCGTGACGATACATTGTCGATCACATTCAACATAAAATAACTTACACTTGCAAGGCATTACGTTTACGACCACAAGGCAGGTACGCGTTTAAAAGTTTTCAGTTGATTATTATGTTTTTCTACACTTTCCTTTGATATGCCCATTTGATTGAACGCAAATTTCACTTTGAAGCTTTAAAGCGTTGCTCGAAGGAATCGGCATTCAAAGAGCTTTGTTATATGAAGCGTCCTATTTCAAAATCTTGCAAAATTGTATTACACAATATTTTTTTTCGGGGTTTTTCGGGTGTCGGGTTTTTTTAGTTTTTGAAATTGATGTTTAATTAATAGCTGCCAACATTTATACCAAAATGGAAATCAGCTTATAAATTTTACATCTTCCGTGTTATCTAAAAAATTTGAATTGAACTTGACACCATCACTTGACTTGACAAAATTGAAAATCTCTTCAGAAAAACCCAAAAAGTGCGCAGAAATATATATCTCTTTCAAATATTGATAATTTTTTTCCAATAATAATAACAGCAACATACAAAATAATACATTTTCAATTAAATTAAATAATCGCAGATATAAATTCCATTGCAGTTGGGATAGTAAATGATGTAAGGTACCATGAGGAACAGAGTAATGGTACTTCTAAGGCCATGGTTGATGTTCGTAAGGGGTTGAGGAGCAATTTAGTAATTGTAAAATTGATGATTGTGTATTCTCAAATAGTTCCTTACATCCTATGAAAGATATTTGAACAGATAGATATACCTATATATTGGTGACAAATTCTCAATAACCGTGTTGATGGATGCGTCAGTTTGATCGTGTGCATTTGTAGAAATATTCGCTGTGGAAGGACCAGGATCCGAAAGTCGCATATCAGTTTGGGTCATTTCATTTTCATCGAGCACGACATATTCTTCATCTAGTATTCGATGCCTGTTGCAAGGCCACAATCCACAAGTTTCAAAACCTTTCATAGCGATGTCCATACAAACCGATCTAGGATATGCCACTCCCAAAATTTCAGATATGTTTGATTGTTTGATTGTTTCACCAGGGTGATTTCTCATCCAAACTGCACATTCTTTGCTAAAATTAGTTTTTAATGACTTAAAGAATGATCTATCCAAAGGCTGTAGTTTGTGTGTTGTGTGCGCCGGCAAAGAAAACATTACGATACCGTATTCTCTAGCAAGGTTTATGGCTTCTAGATTCTTAGTATGCGTGGTATGTCCATCCAATATTAATAGAATTTTATGATTCAATTGTTTTTCCAATTCTAAATGATTTATGAAATGTTGTAACCATTCGACAAAGATTGAAGCGACAATCCACCCACTCTCAGAACAAGTGTACAGCGTTTTAGGCGGGCCACCACGTTTAAGGATGTCCGTCATTCTTTTGCGTTTGAAGATCAACATTGGAGGAATAAAGTCTCCACTAGCATTCATGTAACAAACGAATGTAGTGTTAATTCCACGTTCTCCGCTAGTGACTGCTCCGACTTGATGTTTTCCTTTTAACTCTCATCTCATCCATGTTAAAAATTTCGTTAGGTCCAAATTGGAAATCATCTAGAATCTTTTCGTATTTGTCGAAAAATTCTGAGACAATGTTTTTGTTAAATCCTTTACATCGTGCCATTGATGTTTTTCATAAATTTGTAATACCATTTCCAACCGGCTAACTCTTGCACCTTATTAAATCGGTGCGGAAGTTTGTATTTTTCTGCCAACTGAAATGCTAGATGTCTTAAATCTGTGATAGTTAACCCCAAGAATCTAAACTCCAAATCCAAAATGTGATGAACCAATTCGGTCTCCATTTGCTCGGTCAAATCGCTTGGTCTTCCTATTTTTTTCTGAGAATTTAGACGTTTTAAATGACGTTTTGGAATACCATATGTCCTGCATACTTCATTGAATCGTAATTTCCCATTATTAAAATCTTGTATTGCTGCATTCATATTTTGCATAGACCATTTATTATATTGTCGTTTTGCCATTGTGTGCTAAAAAAAATTATTTTTATTTTTTCCTCTCATAAAATGATAAAATTAAAAACTTAACAAATATGTATAAAGAGAAATTGATTGGTTAAAACCAAAATGAAAACAATTTTATTTCGTATTCCTAATTTGTACCGGTACGAATTAGGATGTATAATAAAGTACGATTTACGCTCAAAGTCCTCTTCAAAATACACTTAACGCTTTTAGGTTATGAGAAAACGCTGCGCGCTAATTCTACCACCAAATTAATTGTAAAGAAATGCAATTTTTGAAAACCGTATGATTCACAATTTTATGTTTATAGAATTCTTAAAAAACGCTTACAAAAAACGCTAAAATTTTACAAGAAAACTGAAAAAAACTTACTTTTATCAGTAAAATTACATCTCGCACAGGAATCACTGCTTCGGAGCATCACAGCTGGTTAGCTTAGCACTAACTCAAGTAATCACCGACAGATGCCGCTGTATGTTTTATAAATTCTGAGTAATTTAGGTGGTACGATTTACGCGCAAGTACGATTTAGGCAAGTTTACCCTAGCAGAGTTAAAATTATACAAAATTCAAAACTTTCCGGTGCAAACCCAAGTTTAAGTTGAACAAGTTCGGTAATTTCGCCAATTCGTTTTGCTTCAATTCCCCCCGATCTGCGCTCTATTAAAAAAGTTCTACAAAAACTTAACGCAAATCTTAACAGACTTAAAAACCTGCAACAAATCATAATGTAAGACTGAGTCCTGGATTATTATTATCTATAAAAATAACACAAATTTAGGTTTGACGTTCGATTTTCAAGGAAAAACTTATTACTGAATGTTTTTTCTGCAACATTTTAGTTTGGTCGGCTTCAAAATTGCAAAATTGCTCTATGCGTTTTGCCTTCAACATACAACAGGGATAATCGAACCCGCTTTCTTTCTTTTTATTCCACTTGCAATTGTACCTAAAAAATTTAATTAAAAAAATCATAATGTATCAGGACCCAAGGGGTGAAAAATATTTGGCTTTTACCCGTATATTTAATTTTTTTTTATTATTTATTTTGGTACAATACATACCGTTCATTGCTTTTTATTGCTCAACTAATTTCTAGTTGACCTAAAAAAATAAACAACTCTTGGACAATACTTTCAGTATTGGTATCGGAGAAACACAGATGCTAATTAGAGGCACTATTAATAAGCTTTTTCCTTTAAATGAGTTTAAACATACTTGGCTTTTTATCATCTCAGATCGTTAAATGTTACGAGTTACGGGATTATAGAGAATCTTGTTTATAATTTGATTTTTTAAAAACTTTTTTAGATCCTTATTTTTAAGGACGTGTTGAATTTTCCATTAGTAACAGATATGCTAGTTCTCATGAAATATATGCATTGCAAATTTTATATTTAGTTTTTTTTTTTTAACAATTTTGAACATCTAAAGGTAGCCCCTATTAAATATTTTCTATGTGGGTCCTCCAATTGAGATTTTCATCCATATACTTAATTGAATGAGCCTTGTTCAGGACTATATCGTTAGTTTTGATCTCAAAGTGATCTGCGATCGATATCTCTTTCCTAACCTAAAACTTACAATAATATGGAAAATTGAAGGTCATCAAGAAAATAATATACTATGTTATTATTATTGTTATTATTATTATAAGCAAGTATTTAGTCAGATATAGAATCTCTATTTTAAGCAATTACCTTGCGGCATTCAACAACCAACATGAGCACTGACAGATCTAGTTAAATGTTTTCGTAAAACAAGTTAAGTGTGTGGAAGTCGCTGTTTCGAAAGAAAGAAATAAAATGCTGCAAAGTACAGGTTAGTGGGTAAAATGTGCAGAAAATCATTACCTTCCCTACGAAAAAATCGACGTAAGAAAGTTCCCGGAGTATTTTAAATATGTTTAGAAATTTCCAGTTTTAGTTCAAAGTAAAAATGAGATAAGTTATCCTATAAATTTGTTTTAGTTTTTGTGAATTTTTGGGACAATAAATCAAACCGGTCCAGGGTAGTAGTAAAGAAATTAAAACCCAAAATATATGAATACATTATGTTGTATTGCGTACTGTATAATTGTATTTATATAAATAATCAATACATATTTAATTAAATTAGTCGACAGAATAGTTTGAATCTCTGCTATCACTATCATCTGATAAACTACATAGCGTGCTGCCAGGTTAGATAGTGTACGTATCTGAGAAATCGGCCTATATCAATGGTGCGTTTTGTTTTCCTTGGTTAAGGACATTGTTTCACCAAAACCAACTCTTCATCTCTTCATCATTTGCCCTGAGGTCGCACCACGCGCTTAGATGTTTCGACCAAGACTCTCTGCTTATGTCAGATTCTCGTGTTTCGTCTACTTTACCCTGAATGATGAGCTGCAGTAATTGTACTTTGTTTTGTTGATGTTCGTTTCCAGTCCACATCGATTATTGACTTTATTCCAAATTGTCCAACTGTCACATTTTACCACACAATAACCACCCTGACATCATATTTCACTATAACCGTAATCACTACCAGTGATCGAAGAAAACTGGAGCATTTTTTTTGGAATGTCACACTTTAATCCAGAATTGTTTCAGACATCCAAAAATTTAAAAACGACGGATGTAGGATCAAAGCAACCTATTAATCAATGTAAAGTAGATCATGATAGGAGCACCAGATTTCTTAAGCAAGGATATCAAGGTTATACATTGTTTGACTCCTGTATTGTTGCGAGGTAGATCGGGGTTAAGATTGTTATTTATAGATTTCTATGGATTCTCGGATTTTTCTATGGAAGAAGCATTGGAATACAAAAATTTTGGATTTATTTGTTGTGGTAGTAAGGCTCCCATCTAGATGTTTTTTTTTTGTTTACCTTCATAACAGTTTTCGCAGTCGCGTTATACCTTTATATTATTATTATTATTTTATTTAATTTTGTTTATTTTATCTATCTATTTGTCAGAAGATGTTATACTTGTATATCCTTATTGATTGACAAAAAATAACAGTAAAAATGTCTATGCATCAGCGAATTGTTCAGGAATCATTTCGATATTTTATCTGATAAAAACGACATCAAAAATATTTTTTTTAGATTTTCAACGACGAAATTATCAGATACTTGACGGTGATGTGAACTGCATTTTTTCCGTTTTATCATCACCGGCAATAATATTTCGGAATAATACACTAAGTTGTAGTATTACCTTTCTGGAATGAAGCGACGCTGGTTTTAAATAACGTGTTTCTTATATTGTTTATATTTTAGCAATAATTCCTAACCTAAACGTATACGATATTTATACTTGTTGTAGGGCTAACTTGTGTTGTATTTAAAACTCGTTGAGTTATGTATTAAATTTACAATTCTTGCTTGACTTCTTGCAAAAGTTTATACAAAAAATTTTGAAGAATATATTCTTATAAAGAAACGACAATGTTTTTTTCATTTCATTTCGGTTGACATAGATTAAATTAAAAAAAAAAAACAAAATTTGGCAATAAACCCTAACTTTATTGGCTTTCCCGGCTGGTAATTAATGAAATTTTCCGGGTTGTTAGGCCGGGGTCTGTTGGTTTTGCCCCCAAAGCCCCCACTGAGGATGGCTGCTGCACTAGCAGTCGAAAGCTTTGGTTAGTTAGAATACGAAGGAGAACTTTGGCAGTACACACCATCCAGCGTTTCTTTAATAATTTCAGGTGCTTTTATCAAAAACTTTATGACTGCTCTATACCTAATTTGCGACATTTTTTCGGACACGTCTTGTTTAAAATGCTGTCAATAAAAAGCTATTTGACGCAAGACTTCAATTTTTTTTGCAGCCTACTAAGATATATGTTTAAAAGAAGACAAAAATTTATGATGATACTGGAGCTGCATCTATGTTAGGCCGGGAAATTTTGACCCTAACCTCGTAACAAATTAGAGGCAAAAGAATTTTTGTACTTTTTGTAATTTCAAGTCGCAACTAATAATAAATAAAAAATTGTGACTCAGTGTCAAACGCTTTACGAAACTCAAGCACGGCCCTACCATTTCCCTGTTCCTCATTGTACCTTTTAAAGTTTACTGTCCCAACTAGTGCTGTAGTTGTGCTAAAATATTTTCTAAATCTACATTGGCAATCTGGTATAAGGATTGTTGATTTCTAACAATTCAGCAAGTCGTTAACAGATATGTTTTTCGAAAATTAAAGGCCACAAATTGTTCGATTCTTCGGAGTCTGGTACCTAGAAAAAAATTATGGATTTCTGAGCATCGTTCGAGTTTAATTTTTCCAAACATTTCAAAGATGTAATTTGTGATGAATTTGTCTGCTTCATCTATTACTCTAAGGTTACAAGATGGAATTCGACCGAGATTTACGAATAATTTCGCAATTATCTCGTCATCAAACAGCATGTTGAAACATCAATGCAAATAAATCCGAAGTGGCAATAAGGCGTAGAGTAAGACAGAGATCATCTATCATCCTAAACATATATGTAAGAAGGCGCTTGAAAGTCAGGAATACTTGAGATGATGCCATTATTATTGGAAGAACCACAGCTACTTATGTGTAGTGCAATAAAATTAAATATGGTCATGCAAAAATTAAATAAAAAATGTGTCCAGAGTATTCCGTTGTACCAGAACAGTATGGATTATGAATATTTAAAAAAAAATCAATTTTTTTTTGATAGTCATTTGTGACCACCCTGTATAATATATTTTGCACATAGATTGATTAAAGCGTTAAATATTAACCACTGCCAGGGATCCATAATAAAAATTGCCAATTTTAGTTTTCAAGTGTAAAATAACGCATTTGGTCAAAGAGCTGTTTTTTCCACAGAAAATGGAAAGATTAAAAGAGTTCGACATGCGGCTCTAGCGCAGGATACTGAGAACTTCTTGGTTAGACCATGTGGCAAATGAAGAAGTGCTTGGTAGAATACAAAAACAGACGGAAATAATGAATACAATAAAAAAAAGAACCTATGTTACAACCGCCCAAGTACCCTGTATATGTAGTTGTAGTATGAATCATCAGCATATTAGCAGGAATCGTCAGGAACTATTAAAATTTGCATATTATCTAGCCGTTATCGGTAGGTATTTATTTGCAACGTGCATCGACAAACTTCAAAGTCGTCGGTGCGTCCTGTAATTGATCAGTTTTCATATACCTCGCTTTCCGCAAGAAAAACTATAGCGATAAGGTACGCAATATGATTCTCTCGCTTCAATTGGATTTTGCTTTTAATAACGACGAACCTTACCTTATTGGAAGTTCTTTTCGTGGGTACCGCTGATTTCCTGTTCATTTTATAGTATTCTCGCTGCAAATGTATGAACAGACACAAATAAAGGGTTGGTAATCACCACCATTTCGGCATTAAAATTTTACGATCCTCTGGATACAACGCTGGTATTATTTTCGATTGTTTTCTTATCATTAGGTTGCTACAAAATCAAGTGCGGTGTTTGTGTTTTTGTACGAAATTGTTAATTAGAGTGCAAAAATTTGCGATATTGAAGGACGCAGAAAATACTAACGATTTTTTGGGTTTGTGACAAGGCATAACCCCAATCTTAAAATGAGACAAAATCTTCGTGTAAGATGGAATAAACCAATCAAACCAATACCATCAGGTAAGCTATTTAGAACATTATGTTTCATACGGTACATATGGTTGCTTTCATAAGGACAGGGAAACTTGACGACTTGGTCGTTTATGGAGCTCCTAGGTACTAAGCTAAGGTTCACTAAGGAATTAAAAGACCTTGGAGAGACATGTTAACATGGAAATCCCACATTGGAAACAAGTTAAAAAAGTGTCTGACTATTGGCAAGACGTGGCGGCTATATCCAAGGTTGATATGTGGATCAATACGACCGATGCTAAAGTTGTCTGGGGCCATAAGGAAAACTGTGAACAGAAACATAGAAAAAACGGTTTGGATGACTATGGCGTATCATTGAAAGGCTGATAAGGATAACTCCTGGAACAATTTCTAAATCAGTGGAATCAAAGAGAGAGCTGTTGTCTGCAGTAGCTAAGCTTGTCAAGGGTCGTTGCTTACTTAACAAGCATCAATTCTGTTTGACTTACTAGGCATGATGTAAACCGGAATGCTCTGCTCAGGAGGAAGTACGAGCCGAGCCCTAAGTATGTAGTGTAATCATGAACCTAGTAAACTATTGAGGGACATTGAGGCTACATTTGGCTGAGTATCATCGTTTTCCTAGGTTGTATCTGTATACGAACGCCGTGAATCAAAATTGAGAATTATCGATTTGTTTGGTGTATCATGAGTGTACCACTTCACAATAGGCATATAGATTAAGCGATACTTCGCCCTACACATTATTTTATACATTTATTTGAGTTTGGCAATTGTTTGGTGTTGTTAGCGAGTTAAAAATGAAGAAGTCAGATTTCCTCCTTCAGGTAAAAATCAAACGGTGTCGCAAGTGATCTGGGAAACATTTTCAACCGAAACCCTAAAGCTAAATATTTGTTTTTTTAATTACGTTTACACACAATAGATAATCTAACTTAAACATACCGTAATACGAGTACTTTACGATTATTTTATGTTTTGTCAAATATACCCTCGGGATTTTTGGAAATACGGGCATCGTGATTGCTATGCAAATATTTTTTGAGAATATTATTTTTTTATTTGTTTTAAATAATGCACATCAATACAGTCCGCGTAATACATTTAAGAGACGGCGAGGTGTAAAATTCGTAGAAAAATGTATCCGGTGTTTACTCATAATTCGTCACCCCTCTCAACTTTATTATTTGAAAAGACAGAAAAAAAAGTAAAAAATGTAATGTTATGTTTACGAAGTATACTGGAGATTGTTCTTTATCGAAGTTAATACCTTTTAAGTTCAGAATAAATTTTGGAGTGTTAAGATACAAACTGACAAGTTTGGCAAAACAGAAATGTTTCATCAAAATATAATTTATCTGTAGAAATTTACTGTCACAAATAATCGATATGTCATTAGCAAGTAACCTAGTTTTTTTCATGAGTTGTGCAATGGAAACTGACGCTATAACTAGGATCTGTTGTACCTGTGGCATTTGTAAGCAAACAAATAAATAAATTGTACGACATTAAAACGTGTCTTCTTCTTCTTCTTCTTCTTCTTGAGTCGAAGCTTCCACGCATATACGTTTGTATGACATTTTGGTCTTGGAAAAATGTCTGCATGAGGTTGTTATAACACTGCTCATCAATCATAAAATCATGTTGACATGACTGTATTGCGTTTAACCTATTATTTAACCGGATAAACTTTTTTTTGTACATCTTATTTAAGTGTATTAGACTGCATGGTGAATTTTGCCTTTATTTTCAGAATATGGTGGACCCTAAAACGGGAGCGGAAGCCAGGAAACTCCCACAATACGTCGCCGCACTATCTGGTACGTCAAGTTTGACCATATAAATGAGATCTAACCTTAAAATAATAGCAATCATGATTGGATCCATTTATTTAGAATCGGAACTGTTGGAATAAAGAATTTTCATAAGTGTGTTTTTTTAAATTTTTTCTTCTTCAGGACTTATCTCAAAGTGAGTATTCTACTACTTTATACCCGCTTGTACATGGTGTTTGGATTACATTTTAAAAATAAAACTTCATATGCACGTATGTCCTAAACATAGAGAGTGGTGAAGTTTTCCAAAACAAAATATATTCCTTTCATGTCTTTAATAGCACTTTAGATATCTTAATGGAATTTGCACACATGTACTATGTATGTGAAGGCATTATTTAGAGTGTCGCATTTTTATTACATATACCAGTGGCGGGCCTACAGAATTTCACACGTTTGGCAGACAATGATGATACGCCTCTGATTTCTGTTTAAATGCAAACTATTCTTACAATCTAAAAATCATTTCCAAAGAAATTTAATTTCTTGATTTTTTTGGTTAACTAGTTCGCCACTACCCTGTTCAAGTCGAGAACTTTTTTTTGGGAAAAATAAAATATCTATATAAAACGAAATATCTAATTTTTTAGTTACCAACTAGTGTCCTTCAGAAAAAAAAATCCTGTTGTTGTGACGTATTACATACGTAAAATGCTTCTCTCCCAACTCCTCATTAGCAAACTCGACCAATTTTTTTATATAACAATGAAATTTTAAACCCCAAATCAATAAGACGCGAAAATCTGTATTTAAAAACTGATCTGAGCAAGGAATACTCTAAACTCCTGGTGTTCCAAACGGCATTTTTCATTTGATAGATCGAAGATGTGGTCAGTAATATTTTGAACGTAAGGAAAGAGCAATAATACAGAGTAGAATGTAAACGAGTTCCATATAAACTCTGGAGAAGCTGGAAGATTTGTAAATTGCAAATTTTTTAGTTTGTTTGGGAGCTGTTGCGGCCGGTGCCGTTCTGGGATGGACCAGTAACATTTCCGATGCCCTGCTGGATGGCAAGTTCAACGATATCGCAATAGATCAAGACATTTTGGGTTGGATATCGTCGTTCACCACGCTCGGCGCTATGGTGATTTGTTTTCCCATGGGGTAAGTGAAGCTATTTTTTTTACATTTCTTATGGTTAAATAATAAAATGTATGGAATTCTGGATTACATGGAATAGCGCCAAAATATCCTAAGTTTTTGCTAATTTTCCTTGTTCAATGCTGATAATTATTTTTATTGTAGCAAGAAAGCAAACTTATTTATTTTTCAAATCATTGTTGTTTGAGATGTCTTTTTAGAATTCCGTCTTCATCAGTGAAGGTTCCCTTCCATTATCAATTTCAGGATCTCATATCTACTTCCACGCATTATGCGACCCAGAAATTCTGTCTATCGTTTTTTAACTATGTGCACCAACTCTCTTTCGCACTGGGCTCTCCTCAACCTGAAAAGGTTTTGAATGTTTGCAAAGTTTCACCCAGTTTCTTTAATTTTCAAGTTTAGAACACCCTGTATATTATTAAATTCGAATAAAATTATAAAATGGGAGTCTCCATTTCAAAAAATTAACATTTTGCGTTTTTTATAATCGAAGTACACGAAATATATATATACCGGCTTGGTACAACGCACGTTATTGAATATGAAAAAAATCAAAAACGCTAACACCAGTGTTGCCAGATTTACCAATTTTATGTCAAACGTCAGGAATTTGTGTTTTAAATGGATTGTATTTGTTTTTGTTGCCCTGAATTCCTTATACCGCATTTAGTAAGATCTCGCAATTTCAAAACTTTTTTTCTATTTACTACCGAGCTATGCCAACGTCGCTTTTTCAGTAAAAAGCAACGGACCGCTTAAATATCTCCAAAACTGGCGTAGCTGGACGGATAAAATTCAATACTTCGAATATAATTTAACACTTTTAGGTCACACGTCGTGAATTTCAATTATTTTTTGTGACTATTTCTATAGCCATTGTAGTACGGCAGACAAACATAGAGCTTGAGCGTATTTGGATTTCGGGCGTTAGATTTTGGGGCTGCTTGTTATTGTTAGCAAGATCAGCAAAATATTTGTTAAAAATTTCACAGATTTTGTATCCGTCTTGAAGTGTTTCACCACCTACGGTTATGTTAGTTATAGAAGAGGATTTAATTTTATGGTTGCTATTTCCCCTGACTATTATCAGATTTCATTAATCTTAAATTGTGATGAGTTTTCTTTGCATGTTTAAGTTTTTTGTTGTGATAGGGTTTAAGTTGTTTGTATTTTTTATTATATAGATCATTTTTTATTCTTTTAATTTGATGCCTCTCGTTTACCGCACGACTCATCTCTCTTAATTCTCTATTAAACCAATTGTTTTTTTTTTCTGTTCGAGAGTTTTTTTTTTTTTACAAATGAAATGCTTGATATAAATATTTGTTTTACTTTTTCGTAAAAAATTTTAAATTTTTTATCTAAGTCGTCGGATTGAATATGGTATAGCAAATTATTCCAATCTGTGTTGGATACCAAATGTATAAAATAATTTACATTATTTCCTCTAAACTTTCCGAAAAGACGTTCTGTACAATTATTATGAAAGAACTCCATGTTCATGTCAATGCATGTTCTAGAATGATAAGTTATTCTAGTGGGCTCTACAATATAAGCAACTATTAGTATTTTAGTTTGTTTGTTGTTTTCAAGCAAGTTGACGTTTATTATTGAACGTTTCTCTACAAATGCTTCGAAGTCTCCCTTTGGAGATCGGTATACAGAGAAAATTGTGGTACATTCCTAATTTTATTGAACACATTTCAAAAGTTTTTTCTTCAGAGTTAAAGGGAATTTTGAAATTGGTGAAGAGATGTTAAAATTATTTTTTTTATTCACCATGGTCTTATAATTTAATTACGGTCTAAGTTAACACCAAGAAATAATTGCACTGTTTTTATTTGCAGAATCGTCTGCGATTTGCTGGGACGGAAATTGGCTTGCCTTTTAACCATAATTCCGTTTTCCGGGGGATGGCTGCTTATAATACTTTCCAACGGGGAAATCATGCTCTACGCAGGAAGATTTTTGGTTGGTTTTGCGGGTAAGTACTTATTACTTTGTCGTCCATATCGTTTGGGTGCAAAATTTCAAGTCTGGGAAGACTTGACTATTATTATAGTTAAAATTAGTCTTTGTGTAGATGAGAAAAAATAGTAATGGCCGTGTCGAATTTATCTACTGTATTTTTTATTAAATACAACTACAAAATAAATCGGGGAATATAATATGGCAATGCGAACACTCAGTGACCTTTAAAGGCTTTAAAAGAGACAAAAAAAGTTGCTGTAATAAGCAAGATAAAGAAAAATATAAAAAAAATCTGATAATTTTTTCTATACCATATTATTGTACAAAGGTTTTAGTTAGTAGTTCTTACAGTTGATTTGCATGTATGATTTGTTATTAAAGAAATATTGTTTCTATGGAAATAAAGTTTTTTTTATCAAATTTGGTATATTTTTTGAACATCGAAGGCCGTGTTTTAATACAACATAATATTCTCTAAAAATGTTTGTAGCTCTAAGTTGGAGTTTCGACAGAGTATCCTTGAAAATGAAAAAAGTACACCATTGAAAATAAAAATTAATTTTGAAATATTCGCACTATCTTCATTTTTTTTCTCTGTTTTTACTTTTGGAACCACCTTTTACTGCAATACACATGATTTATAAATGATTTTGTTCTATTGTTTATTCGTTCACTGTGTGTAAGACAGTAACTGGCTACTGGTAACTAGAGAGTAACACGATAAATTATGGATTGTCCAATAATAATAACCCCTAAATAGGAAGCAAATGAATGAAAACATATTTCATTATATTTGAAACTTAAAGACGCAACTCCGCGATTTCAGAAACCCTACATAGTGGATAGTTTATCCCTTGAAGAGTAAATTCGACAATCTTTACATTGGAAAGACGTCACAAATTGACAAATTGAACGTAGAACTAAACTCTTTAAAAACGAAAATGAGTTCGATCTATACTAATTTGATACCACACCACTACTACATGAATCTTTCGAATTACTGGGTTTATGTTACGCCTTTTTCTGATTTAGGATGTCTTGCAACAACCATCTCCAAACAGGTGTCTGTTGATTGTACACTGTGCTGGTAGTAGAATTTTAATGTAGCTTATAATATATGTTATTGCTATATCTATCTCGATATCTTGAAATATTCTTGCTTAAATTCTAGCCAGTCTTTCTAATACAGCCTATAATAACGTAGTTCGCAGTTTTTATTGTATTATTTTAAAATCCGTTTTATGTGCGCTCTTATTGTTTTAAGGGGATTGTTTTAAGGCATATGATTCAGCTTAGTTTGTGACGGAATGTTCTCCCTTAATAACGCCTTTTTTAGTGTTCTGATGAAGCCTACCTTTATAGTCAAAGCTTAACTTCGTAATGAAAGCCAAATCTATTGGCTCCCTCTTCAGATATATAATTATAATAAAATAAATATTACTATGTTCTTTGGTATGCAAATGTAAAAATCTACAATGTCTACAATGTGCTTTTTTGTACAATTGAAATTTTATTTCACTGGGACTTAAAGAATGAGTGACATTTGCAGCTCTCAAATTCCTCGGGGCTACAAATATTCTATGGGGATGAATTTACATTGGTAATGGAAACAGACGTAAAACCGTATGCCTCATCTGTTCAGCTAAGCTGTCAGTTACATATTGTTTTTTAATAACCTATGAATTTTTTTTTGTAACAAATATTCTTAAGTTTCAGTTTTTGTACTTACGAATTTGGTGCTTTTTACAGCGTTATTTAGTTTAAAAAAAATGCACTTTTATCTTTATGATAATCCATACTAATAAGTGCGATTCCTTGGATACCTTTTTTTCTTCGACTTTGCGGCATTTAAGTCCTATTATACAATTATCTCTATATTCTATTGGTTTCATCTTATGCTAGCAAAGTAGGAACAGTCTGGTTTATTACTAAAAGAAACAACAAGCAAAATCAAATATCAAAATAACGGAAATACCCTGCTTTATGTCGATTTCGTTTGTCTTCATAGGCAACAGCCATAGCCATTAAATTATGTGTTTAATTTTCATAAAAATTCTCATTTATTTTCTTGTTTTTGAGAAAAAGGTAAAAGAACAGAGGACAGAACTATTTGATCTGGCGCTGTGTACTAATTCCAAAAGCGGTATTCCCAGTTCCACTGAAAATTTATACAAGACACCAGAGGTGCCTAAACATTCAATATTATCGATTATGAAAAATTATTGTACTGTCTTGAGAACCCCATCTTTCAATCTTTAAAAATAACGGAAATACTCCGAAAAACTGTCCAAAATGGGACACTGTGTTCAGACGAGGATCTGTCAGAAGCCAGGGAGATACATTTTGATTACTATTGGAAACCGTTTTAAATCAAATCAAATCGAGTAATTTATGTCGTCAGTATACAATTACCAAGGTATTTTTTCAAAAAAGGATTTTCTACCGAATAAAAAAACCTATAAAATTTCACCGGACGAAGAAAATGCGAGCAAACCTTGCAAAATAATCATAATGATAATAATAATTTAGAAACTTTAACCATTGAGTTAGAAGCTAATAATAATATCCCATTCTTAGACATACTTTTCAATGTTAAATGAGATCAAACCTTGGATCATTCGGTTGACAGAAAACCTACTCACATAGGCCGATAGCTTAACGCATTGTCTCATCACCATCCGGGCCAAAAATGATCCGTCATCAATGTCAATCAATATCTTGTTTCCAGAGCCGAAAAAATGCCTCAATTCGAGTCACTAACCCGCTGGCACTATTAAAAAACATGTATATCACCCAGAAACTCAGAGATAAACAAAAATAACAAAAAAGAAAGAAGAGGAAGAACTACGCTTTCTTCTGGTCTACAGTGGGGTGACCAGGAGAGATCCAACAATTTCTTTCCTTCATTTTATTCTTTTTTTTTTACCGAAGTGCCCCCATATGATGATATGTTGCAAATGGTGTTATTTAATTTTCCCGTGCCTTTCAATCTTTATAATCCTAACTCTAACATGGCAATATTTGTACTAATAATTTACTTACTTGTACTAATAATTTGTTACTAAAAAAACCCATATAACAGGGAAAAAATACCAACTACACTTGCAGCTATGAACAAGAAATTATTTACAACAAATTACAGTTCAAACTTTTTTTAGGAGGAGCATTCTGTGTTGCTGCCCCGATCTACACAAGCGAAATTGCACAGAAAGAAATACGCGGAACCTTGGGTGGCTACTTCCAGCTACTGCTTACGGTGGGCATATTATTTGCCTACGTCTTTGGCTCCATATGCACCCCACTAGTTTTGTCGATACTGTGCGCTTGCATACCCTTGGTGTTTGGAGTAGTTTTCTTCTTTCAACCAGAAACACCGGTAAGCAAACGACCAATGATTATTATTAGTCGTGTTCCCATTAATTTATAAATAGTTTGATGACAATTTCTATATATAAATATAGATATAAATTTGGAAAAACATTCTTAAACAGGAAAATGATGCTCATTGCTGTACATATTGATGAAAAATGTTTTAGACAACCATTATTTGTAAGTTGACATTTCTGCGGTGTGTCCCTAGAGCCTAGCCTTTGCAGGAATTTCAGTACCTCTTTCATGGGGACTTTGTATAATTCGTCCTAAAGTAGGACTCTCTATCGGCTGCATGAAATGAATGGAAGTTCTTTCTTTGCTTCTTTTAAAGAAGAAGGGTTCTGTCAGGTTTCCACAATTAGGATGTTCAACTGCTTCAGTCACCTTGTTAACTTCTGAGACGGTCTTACCTGTTCTATGCTCTATGATATTGACTATTAACGAAGTAGAGATGGTTACTTTGGTGGTTTTTCTAAATATCTTACAAGTTCGTTTCGAAACACTTAAACACTTAAATTGTTGATTGAAATTTATTTGTGCATAATAACAAGCGTTTCCTCTATCTTAGAATGGAAGGCATTTATATCGTAAACAGGATTTTTTCGGTCCTAGCTGGACACTCACCAGGTTTCCTAAGCACCGTGTGGTCTGCTGATCAATTTGAATTTGCTTCCATCTGAAATACATTTTGGGGAAGGTCGAATGGTAGGGGGACCTTAATTGCTTTACTGATCTGCTTATAAGCTTTTTCGTTCACTCCATTCGCTCGTTCCATCAACGACCCTCTGCATGAACTCCATCACGTGATCGAGATACTGATAAAAGTAACCATGACCGTTTAGGTCGTGCAACAGAAGCGACCAGAACAGAGGTGAAAGAAATTGATATATCTTGATATTGGAAATTGTTTGAGAGAAGAACCGAGGTGAGATTTGTAAAAACTAAAAAACATGCTCGACATACCTCTGCCGCAGTTTAGGCTTTATGTGGAACTTATTCATGGCTAGTAGTTCAAAATGACAAAGTGGGGGACCCATAGCTATTCCTAATATTTGTTCGTAAATTTGTGTGTTACATTTGAAGTATGTTCCAGATATACATTTTTGTAATAAAACGAAGGGAGGTTTTCAGAATTTGTGATGTTTAGGGTTTCAGGCACCTTCGTAAGGAGAGATTCAACATCAATACTAACTAGAAGGTCGTCTTCACAAATCACAATAAACACTTTTAATCGAGTACAACATTTAAATTATTTTTAGGTTTATTCGTTGAAAAAAGGGGACAGGGCGTCGGCGTTAGCAAGCTTGAGAAAACTGCGAGGTCAGCGTTACGACTGCGAGAGCGAGTTGAAGGAGCTCCAGGAACAAATCGACAAAGATGTTGCAGTTAAGGTACTTTTTCGGGTTTTACCAAATGAAAATGATTTCAGCGATGGTCGCCTGGGGAAGTCATCTCCATTTTAAAGTTCTAAAGTGATTTTTCTCTGAAATTCACCTCGTTAAAGTATCACACCCATTAAAATGAGTTGGATTTAAAATAAAAACCACTTACACCTGCTTGGAAATATGAAAATTTCTTCAGATGACTTAGATGTAGGAGGTAGGAGATATATTACTACACATTCCCATCCGGCCCCGGGTTAACTAAAAAAAACGGTTTTCCGTTGTTCCATGTTTTTCCAAGTTGTTCCAGCTGCTTTCTAGTATTAATTCACATTGGGCGGACATTTTTACCAGATGTTTTATGACCTCGTTCACCAAATAACTTGTTATCATACTAGTTGTTTTTTGTATAAATTTATTCAGAATAAAAGTATTGCTGACTAAGGAGCTCTTGCGATACCTCTTTTTCGATGCGGATCGTTGGTACCTCTTTAGCTAAAGTGTTGTGATAAGTTGTGATAATATTTGTGGCACAGCGTTTGGCAAGAAAGTTTCTCTGGAGCCAGAGTGTAATTGATATTCTTTTTCCTCGAGATGTTCTTTTGTATAAGTATTTTCAAAATAGATGCTATGCTTACAAAGGAACTCGTGCAATACATTTTCTTTGCTGCTGATCGTCGTATTTCTAAATCTATATCAGATTTTGTGCGGAAGTCACAACTGCTGGTAAATCGGCCATTTCCATTCTTTTGTAGCAATGAATCGACGCATCACTATTCTTGAACGATTTATTAAGCCTTGGTCCCATCGTTCCTTCCTTTCTAGTGGATCATTACCAAGGAGTCGCAATTTTAATGCCAGTAAACTCCACTGTCCTCGTAATGTAATATGCCCCTTCGAAATTTGTAGAAGACATGCAGGCAAATGTTGCATGGTATTGGTATTAAAGAGGGGCGTCCAAGCACTTAGGCCACCAGATGGGCCCGTTGTGCCCCCATGCCGCTCTAGAGGGAGGGCGTCCAGAATGCCGCCCCTCCTGTAGAAGGTCAGCAACTCCATGACGGAAATCATTATTTTTACAGCGGATATCTCACAAGTATCTCGTTTTTTAAGAGTTGGGGAATGATCTTTGTGCAGATTGGAATGTGGATGTGGGAATCAGCTACCTGCGGCAATTAAACTACAGACTCCCATCTCCGTATTTAGGGGTAGCAATTGTCCGTTTTGACACTTTGATTGGCGAAAATTTATAATAATTTATAAAACCTAATTTTGTGATCCAGATGGCAATTTCCAAATATGTTAAACTTAAATAGGAAACAAACCAGAAACCCATTTAAAACAGATTCATAATATTTTACTGGATATGACATTTGAAACACGAAGCTCTGAAGTTTCGAAAATTATGTAATTGACTGGTAAATTGAACAGGATGAATCCCGTGTTTCTGTTTAGCATGCAGTGAATTACGACCAGTAAAGAGTTCTAAGCACGTAGTGTTCAAGTTTATCAGAAATCAAAATATAAGTAATGTGCGTAATCGGTATTCAAAACAAACAACTTTCGTATTTCAAATTTGTCATTTGTTTTTGACTAGCTAGAAAGAAAACTTTATTACGACCAGAATGATACTCAACTTAGTTAAATGAAAAATTGACTTAATTTTTGGTAAAAACTTAACCACAAAAAAATTATTTCATTTCCTATCAGTCGAGCATCCATTAATAAATAACGCATCCGTAGGTTCCATTCAGTGAAGCAGTTCGGACGAAAGCAGCCAGGAAAGCGATCTTAATATGTTTCGGGTTGATGATATTTCAACAACTCAGCGGGGTGAACGCCGTGATCTTCTATACCGGCCAGATATTCAAAGAGGCGGGGGGATCGATCCCGCCAAACTATGCCACAATAGGTAAGAAAAGACTTACCTATATTTAACCTGCACGGGCGACACAATGCAGCGGTTCGAGTCAATGGAAGATTCACAGATGAACTTCTCCATTGTTAACTTAAATGGGGACAAAGTCTTTAGGATGAGATTACTGTGCTGATTATAATTATTATTATCATTTATCTAAAAAAAAATACACACGAGGAAAAGTGCCATGCAGTAAAGCGCCTGTAAAGGCATGAGAATGATACATAAACCTATATCATTTTTTCTGCTCCTTTATCGAACCTTTAGAATTATTGAAACCGTTTCTGCAAAAATAAGACAATTTTTTTTTTACTATAATTGAAGACGTGGAAATTGGTGTTCTATGAATCATATCGCGACAATTCTATTCAAAAGATTGTCAAAGACTCGAACCTATCCTTTAATACTATCCAAAATACACAGGGTGTTCATTTTAAAAAGAGTACGTTTTCCTACTAGTTTTCTAACTTAACCTTCTTTGTATCTCTACTAAGTATTTGAAATTTAAAAATAAAATTTACACAACCTCAAAAATAATTTTCAGCAATACCTGGTTGCCCTCATATATGCCGGAACTTTTTGAAAACCTTGCCTTCCGTGCCGCATATGTCGTGAATCACCATGTATGCTTAAGCTTTGCGATCAAATCCGATATTTTTGACAGGAATCGGCATCGTGCAAGTGGTAGCGACTTTCATCTCCACGGTGGTGGTTGACAAGTTCGGAAGAAGGATCCTGCTGATGGCTTCCGCCTTCTGCATGGCGCTTTCCGGCGCAGCGCTGGGCGTCTTTTTCACGCTGAAAGATCGACACGTGGTGAGTGAAGACGTCGTCAACACCATAGGATTTTTACCGGTCGTCAGTTTGGTTGTTTTCATCACCATGTTTTCTCTGGGATTTGGTCCGATCCCGTGGATGGCTTCGGCCGAAATTATGCCTCCCGGTAAGCTATGGGAATGTACTTAATATCTCTATTTAATCAATCTCACAGCATCAGAGCAAGTGGCCTTTCGCATTCATGAAGCATTTCATAACAGCTTTGGTCGCTGAGTCAACTCTGAACCAATATACAAAGCGTTGGCAAAGATATGTTAAAACGCTGTTCTAAAGACTTGGCTGTAGTTTTAATTTTCTTTGGGAGTTGAAAAATGCCATTAGAAATAAATTCACAGAAACGTACCGAATTTCGTACTTTCCTATATTATTTAAGGAGTGAATATTCTCAGTAACGCTTTGCGAAAAGATGTATACTCCCCCACAATTTTTCATAGATATTTCCACAGGCCATTGTTCTTCTATTTACAAAAATTCTGGAGTCCTCCAGCGTCGATTCTTGATGAATCGAACCTGCTAACGTTTCACCAATCATCCTGTTGGCTTCTTTGGAGCTTAATTGAAACAGTTAAGTAGGAATAATCATCTAATGTCTGCACTAAGTTTCTCGAACTATCTAATCATTTAATATAATTCATAACAAACAACAAAAACCCCTGCAAGGGAGAAATCAAATATCTCACTCTTATAGCGACAAACACGAATGGCGGCATTTGAGACATTCTTGACAGAAAATGATTTAATAATTGATACAGGGAGAGCTTTAAAAAGCAATGGTTACTGACTGTTTTATTAATGTTTCTTTAAATATTATATTCAGGATAATTAATTCGTGTGGGTTACTGTTTACTCATGATCTTATACGAGAGACGTTATAGTTATGAGAGCCATAGCAAACGCGTATCGAGAGTTCAGAGGTAGAATTCAGTGAACTATAAAAATACACAAAAACATAATAAATAAATTTTAATTTGTAACACCGATACGTCTTTTGTTCTGCAGTAAGTACCTGTTTAACGAAAATATACCCATAAATTAAATATTTTATTAAACATGTTATCAGAACCACCACTAACGTAGTAAGAGTATTTTGTAATATGGAAGCCATATTTTGTGTTGTTCCAACTGAACGAAAATTTTGAGTGTATGTCAAAAAATTATTTTTACAACGAGAAGATGCAACTACGTTAGTGTTAATACAATGATATTAAATGGATAGAAAGTTTCTTTCGCCATAAAATATCAACTATCAATTGAATTTCTATCTATTTAATATTAAATTATAATAACCTCATAACAAAATGTAACATTTCTGATGTGTTTAAAAAAAAATGCTACACCTGCGGTAATAAAACAAAATTTATTCTTGCTCGATAAATATTGTGCAATTGTCATAATAATAAAATAATACTTGGCTTCATAATTGTTGCAAATTATTTTATATTATAGTTTTGTAAATGTTTATACTATTATCCGGCAAAAGGTACAAAAAACATAATAAATCAAAATAAAAAACAAAACAAAAAAGGTCGTTGGAACGTTTGAGGGATATTGTTATTCTGTGTAAATTCTTTTTTAAAAATTATTTATTTAAAATTTAAAATTAGTTCTAGTATCGATTGACACCTATTGCCAATCAAATTATAAGTGTGACTGCTTATTCAGGAACACGATTATGCCAGATACATAGGCCGGTTTTGCAAACTGTTGGAACCGCTTTGAAAGAGTGTTATTATGGTGGTTTGTAGCAGAGCTTTTGACACGGTTGATACTGATTTTTTTTGCCTGGCTTTCCTTCTTTTCACAAAAATGCAGCTCTTGATGCAGCTGTACAGAGCAACTTTTTCAAACAAACTTCCACAGGCTGCTGTAATTATATTTACAAAACTTCTGGTTTCACCAGTCATCCTGTCGGCTTCTGCAGAGCTTCATTGAACGGTCCGGCACGCGCTTGGACCGTGATGGATGGATGACAGTGACGTGACCTTTGCGTCTTGCAGTCTTACTTACAAAACATTACAGTCGTCTTATTTGCCTAAGAAGTTTGTGTCTTTCAGGGGCTTAATTGTACTAATATAAGAAAAAAACACTTGCTACTTTTACATCGACGTAAAATACTAATATTTCAAAAATCTTTTTCATATACGAGTTCTAAGTTGATCAGTGGATTTTTTAAAATATTTATCCTTCCTTAATTACAATAAAGGATTTATTTTTGATAATTGGTATTATTTTTTTTTGTCTTTTTTTAAATTTGTTATGATTAAATTGTTAAACTCCTTGTGTTTTAGATAATTCAGACCAATAATAATCTTTACAATGATCAGATGTTTTTGTTTGCGCCGATGAAACTAGGTCGTGTTTTGCTGGAATCCATCGAACATCTGATTAGAGGAATTTGAACGCCCACCTCGAATATGACGGATCTTATCAAGTCGAGAATTCATGAAAAAGTTTTCTAGATATACGCATATACACAACAGAATTAAAGGTGCCTCTGTCTGTAGCATCAAATATTCGTTCGATGCCTTGTTCTTCGTCCCATTCCGTTATGGCCGTTCGCGTTTTACGGACTGATCACGTGTACACAAGAAAATGTTTATTTCCCTCAAGCGGTTTTTCAAATATCGACGTGAAAACTTGTATTCGGGTTTTTTGCCAGATGGTGAATTGCGATTTCCGAATGTTTATTTACAGTTTTTCAGTTTCATGTTTGAGAAGTTCTCCTGTGAAATTACCTGGACCAGATAATTTTATATTTTGTAATTCCTTGTACACTTTCCTGACTTCCTCCACTTTTAATTTTATTAGTGATCATGCTACATAGATACTTCCGTTGTTTGGGTTCTGAGCAGATGGATTATTCTTCCCATGTTAGCTATTGAATTGTAGATTTTATTTTTTAAAAGAACCTTGTATAACCTCCAGCTTTCTGAACTTTGTCTTCCAGTCAAATATGTATTGTTCGTCTGACAGTTCTTTTCCCATGAGTCGATCTTTGGCTACAGGAGGATTATGATTGATATTCACTTCCTTGCTTGGGTAGGTTTAAACAGATTTTGCATATTTTTTGTAACGCTCTTTGATCCATATATCTCGCTACAGCTGCAGACACTGCTTCCACGTATTTAATTTACGATTGAAACGTTTGAAGCAGGTGTTTGTTATTATCATATATCCAACGCTTCAACGCTTCCTATTTTGGCGTTGAAGTTACGAAGTATAATTGTTACTTCCTTGTTCTTTGGTGGTGGTTTCTTCACTATAATCTGCCCTTGGTGCATATACCTCTTTCACTTTTAAATTCATGATTATGACACAGGAGGTGAGTTAACCCTAGCTCAACCATTATCAAGAAAATAAGCACCAATATGTTCTATTCTATTCCATACTTTTATATTGTAATTTTTTTCAGAAATCAAATCTACTGCTGTGTCCGCCGCTGCCACCTTCAACTGGCTCCTGGCATTTTTGGTGACGAGATTTTATAATAATCTGGTGGACGCCACTGGTGGTATGTAACGCTATTATAATTCCTTATTGTGATATGAATACAATAAAATCAAACTCTTTAAGCATTTCTAAGAGTAACAGGAGTATAAACTAGGTCGACAAAATAAAGCAAAATAAAAACAGTGCAAATTTCAAAATTATTTTGAAATATACACCCAAAGAAAGTGCATATCAAAGTTATATTTTTTCACATGGAATCTACAATAGAATACACACTGTAATTTACACGCTGTAACGTGTGACGAACAAAAAATTAGCAATGAAAGGAGACATAATCGCAGATAACACTAAAAATAAGTAGTAATATTAGTGTTATATACTAATGATAATCAATTTATAAATACAAACTTTAACAAATTGGGAAGAAATAAAAAATGAAACAATTAAATATAAATTATCGAAGCTTTTCTGCATGTTCACCTTTATATAACATCGGAAAATTCGATTGAACTCAGGTAGATTGGATATAATATTTCTCCAATAATCAAAATTTTAAATTCTTCAATATTATTAAATGGTCGATCCTTATAAAAATTTTGTTTAAAATATCTCTAAAGAACAAATCTAATGGGCTTATCTTGTTCTTGAAAGGAACAAATTTTGGTTTATAAATGTGTTATTTGTTTTTTCTGAGAATCTTCTGGGAGTTTCAATATCTGCTTGAATACTTTTAGTTGATTTCGTGTTTAAATTCTACGAATAATTGAATAGCGAATTTGTTTTTCTATATATTGTCCATTCAATATATCTGATGCTTCAATAGCTAGTTTATAATTATTTAAAATATCATAAAACTTATTCCGCTTTCTCTGATAATGTGAACTGTCTTTAAAGAAGCATTTGAAATAAAATTTATTAATAATCAAGCAATTATTTTTGTGACAATGACAATCATTGTCTTCAGACTGACACAATGTGATAATGTTTACTTTAAAATCTCATCTCTCTCTCATTAGCAGCATTTTATGTTTGTCAATTAATAAGAATTTATACTTACAGTTTTCTATCAGAAGTTTAAAATAATAATTTCAGTGCTATTTAATATATTCTACTATGTACTTGTTTATATACTGATATATATATATATATATATATATATATATATATATATATATATATATATATATATATATATATATATATATATATATATATATATATATATATATATATATATAAATATACTGATACTTGTTTATTTATTTATTTAATTTAAATGTTATTTTTCTTAATGTTGCAAGAAAACTAACAGTATTTTTCCTATTAATAGACTTATAATTGCTTTTCAGGCGATGTTACGTTTTACTTATTCGCCGCCATTTCCCTGTTGGGTACGTTCAACGTCTTCTTCTTTGTGCCTGAAACTAAAGGTAAATCGATACAGGAGGTGCAAGATATGCTGAACGGACATAAACCCGGTCCAACAACAAAGGAGGGTATAGATAACCCCAATTTTAAACATTGAGAATTTGTTTTTTAATTGTGTACGATTTTATTATTTATTTTTTACCGTATTTGTGCGTTAGAGACTAAGCGTAAGATGTTTAGACGTAAATATTAAATGCTTGTAAATAATATGAAGGAAATTTAAATATTTACGTTAATAAAACGAAACAAGATTTTTTTATGTTAATTTCTAACAAATCTAAGCGAATGTAAACTCATTTTACTCAATCCTAACTTATAAGCATTGTAGATATCGTTCTAGCTGAATAGAAGATTTATTATGTTAAGATCTCAACTACACTATTTATGAATAATTGATTTAATATTATATCTTAAAATATGTAAGGAAATTTTATAATAAAAGTTAAATAAAATCTGAAATATATGCGAGTAACTTAATTACCTAATTATATTTAACGGCTTTACAACAAAACAGTTAAGTTCCCAGTTTAAACTGAATGACACTAGGAATAGTGAAAAGCAAGTAACTTTTGCACTATTGCAAAAAGCAAACATTTTTTCAAAAAAATAAAAATGTACATATTTATTTTCATTTTTCCTTGCTTATTGCCTTTTTGACAAATTTTTGGAGTTTTGTTTTGGTTAGTGCAAAAATATATGCCTCAAAAAATACTAAATTTAGTTATCGGCATGCTTAATAAAATTGAAACAGCACTATTATAAGTAATTAATGGAAGTACAGGGTATTATTATTATTATTATTAATAACCCTAATACGCCATATTATTTACATTTAACAGTTAGACGTCCATTACTGCAGTACTGGCACAATTTTCTTGTTCTGCACAACGCACTGAGTAATATAATGGGGCGGGCTTAAACATTTTTTCATTCCATTTGAGTGGCATTTCGTAAATCTTCCATGCTTTTTTTACCCCTTCAAAAAGATGTCAAGTAATGATAAGTCGGGAGGATTGGGACCCTCTTATCGGACCACGTGACCAATCCAATGATTAGAAAAATAATTTTCGAAATATGGACGTGTGATTTGAGAATTTTTTATTATTAATTAATTAATTATAATTATCAGGTATAAGCTTCCGGAATCGAAATCTCCGGTTATGGTGATGCAGGAGCAGGAGGGCATGTGAACAAACTAAAAAAGTAATTAGGATAGGAGCATGCTTGAATAACACCATTTGGGAAAACAAATCTTTTGGAATGGAAACAAATGCCAAAATATTCAAAAGAACCATTAGACCAATCTACACAGTAGTGTGTAGTATCTAAAGGAATTGAGAGGCCAACGAGTCTACTATATGCATAATTTTTTTGTTAATGAACAATATTTTGTCTTTTTTGAATCTTTCTGCGCATCTTCACCGAGGGTTCACCGAAATAATACCCAATTAATTGTGCGTACCATTTATTTTCTTTAAAAAACTTTAATCTAGAACCCCCAACTCTAGCTCAGCGAACTCTCCGTCGACTAGCTTCCACCCAGACCAGGCAATCCCGGTATAATTTGGCTAAAGTACACTACATGTATACAGTAGAAACACGGCCTGACGTAAAAAAACTAAGCAGATTATTGAGACAACGGAATTGAAAGTATTGCGGCAAATTGCTGGAAAAAACGTTATGGAACAGAAAGCGAAACGAGAAAATTAAACTAACCGAAACGAAAAGTGGAATGACCACATCAATCGTATGGATGACTTCAGAAGCTTAGAAAACCCTCGAAAAAGATGGAGCGACAGGCAGTGGCATAAATTAAAGAAGTAAGAGGAAGAAGACGACATAAAAGTAAAACACATTTTATTACCCATTAATATGCACGACACAGCACGAAACATATTTTGCATCATCGTCAGCTATTCGGGTCAAGAAAACAAATGGTTTGGTTACACGTTTCCGTCCATTTGATTTTAATCTTCGATAAACCTTGCCAGTCCTGCACTTTCATTTCCTTAAAGTCATTTTCCACCAAATATTCTTTTCAACACTTTCCCTTCATACATTTCTAATGCTTCCTTCTCCCGTTTGTTCAGCTTCCATATTTCACATCCATACAAGACAGTTTGCCTAATCATCCTTGGCACGTTCATTGCTCTTAATATATAATATCCTTTCTTGAATTTCATGCTTTTCCTCACAATCTGATGTTATAGTTACCCCTAAATAATTTTCTACTTCTCGAAAATAACGTTCCCTATTTTCTAACCTTTAGCTGCCTGTTCTGCCAACTAAACTCTTTTTCCCCTAAACTTTGTTATTAATTTAGTAATTTTCAAACCTGTTTCTTTAGCTGACTTTTCTCCCTTGCTATTACTAAAATCACAATATCATCTGCGCTTAAATTAGTTTTCAAACCACTTTTTTTAACCTCCGTACAGTAGCGGATGGCCTTGTCTTAACCTAGTCATAACCCGGACCTTTGCTTATGTTTTTTCTTATCATTATCTTATAGTCCGTTTCTGTTAACGTCAATTTTGTTAAATTTTTATTTGATACTCCCAATTCCCCCAGCGACTCATACAATTTTTCTTCTTTAACTCTAATACAGAATTGTTGGTCCAGATTATTATCTACAATTTGTTTTAGTATAAAAATCTGATCCATTGTCAACCTATTACCTCGGAAGTCACACTTATACTGGTTTATTTCTCTCTCTCTAAATTGGGCATATAACTGATTCTCTTCATCTCAAAGGCATTTTTTCTTCCCTCCATATTGTTTCAATCATGTTGTATAGATTTTCTTCAAGCTTATTTCCACTAGGAGCTTTGTTATTTTCAAAAGCCTTGATAATTGAAATAATGTCTTCCTTACTTGGAGATTCATTATAGTTTCTACTGTCATTCATTAATGTCACAACTTCATCTTTAAAGTATTCTGCCCACCTTTGGAGACTGTCATCAATCTCACCTACTAACTGCCCTTGACGATCTTTGCAGAAGAATAATTTCTTATTTTTATATTTCCTTTGTTGGTTTTTTGAGCTCTGATAAAATTGTCTGGCTTCTTTCTTGATAAAGTTTAATAATTCTTTTCTTTGTATACCCTATTTTTTGCTTCTGCATTCTTATTTTACTCGTCTTCTGCTAGCCTGGTAACTCTTTCTGTGTTTTATTCAATCCAGTATAATTTATTTTATTTAATTTATTTTATTTATTTTTATTAATTTTTTTACTTTTTTTATTAAATTATATAGATTGTTAATTTAATTTTATATAATTTCATTTTTAATTAATTTCTGTAATTCAGGTATCTAAAGGAGTTCAGAGGCCAACGAATCTACTACATGCATAACTTTTTTGGTAATGATCAATATTTTGTCTTTTTTGAATCTTTTTGCGCACCGTCAAGGAGAGTTCATTGAAATAATACCCAATTCATTGTGCATACCATTTATTTTCTTTAAAAAACTTTAATCTAGAACCCCCAACTCCAGCTCAGCGAATTCTCCGTGGACCAGCTTCCACCCAGACCAGGCAATCCCGGTATAATTTGGCTAAAGTTGATGCTCAAAGCGGCCTCCAGGAACGCTTTGATGTGTTGCGAAATCGAGGCCGATTCGGACGATTTGAAGATAGCCTTCAGGTTCAACGAGCCGCCGCTGGCCGCTTGAAGGGAAGCTGAAACCGAGCCCAGTATTTGCCCGACCACCGGCAAACTGGACAGTATGTTATAGAGATCGAAACCTCCGGTAAGCAGTTTTTTGATGTCGAATCCCTTTAGCAGAGACTTTATGATATTGCCATTCGAAGAGACGTCAATTTTGACATCGATCCCGGCCTTCTTCAGCAGCTCAACCCCCTGGGTGGAGTTCAGTTGCGCTAGGAACACCAGTACAAGCGTTGGAATCGATACCGCAGTTTTGATTGCTGCAGACAGTTTCACTAATACTGTCACCACCAATTCTATAGCGTGTTTGGCACCTTTGACGACTCCTTTTACCAATATCTCGATGATGGCGGATATATTGACTCCCCCTGCGAGATTTACAACCACTCGTTATGGCTTATCTCACCGTTTAATGGCAATCGCGTTCTTACCTACAACCAGTTTACCGCTTATCAATTCCTGTACGAATTTGGCTAGGCCCTCGAGACCCTTGGAGTTGCCGTGCGTGGAGTTTTGCAGTTTGATAACTTCCAATAGACCTTGCAGCGAGATTGAAATGTTGATTTCTCCATGTCGCTCGGATACCGAGAATGCGATTAGGCTCTCAATCAGAACTTTCAGGTCTACTTTGCCTTCAATTACCCCTATCAGATTGGCTACCACCTGCGAATGCAATTATTTCAGCCCTTGCCTAAGTTATCAGTTAAAAATACTATGAAGATACTGAAGATCTACTGCTGCGTCTCAAAGAAATAACTTAACGATACTTCGAGTAAATGTGACAGAAACAACACTACCCAGAAGATCTTCACAAGCACAATCACAGAGGACAGCAATACATCCTCAATTACTTCGTCGATATCGACAGCAGATGCAAGATGGCTTTCTGACTGGACTGGAGAACAGCGTTACAATAATTTCTACGTAACTACCACATATGTAAGTCGAATTACTCTGAAAATGATTCAACCTGCAGCTCGAGATGCTTGGAATAGGGAGACCAGGAGAAGACTGGAAGAAAGAGGTTAACTAACATGGTTTGGACTGGAATTCCCAGCGAAGCACATATTTTTTCAAAATGGATCCCATCGTCCATTGAAGATATATTTCAAGATCATTGAGAATGACTTTTTGCTAAAGCATGATAATGCTAGACCTCACGCTGCGTGATGAGCCAATTTATGAGTGAAGTTCACGGTGCCAGGTTTAGAATAGCCAGATTGTAGAAAGGATCTCAACTCTATTGCTCTGCCCAAGAATGTTCTGCATATAAGTAGCCGCACGTACCTTCAGAAGGCCATCCACTCCAGAGGAAACATCACCTCCCAACTTAATAAGCAGTTTCAGCAAGTTTTCTGGCGTGTTCAAAAGTGATCCCAATACAGCAGACAGATCTATTTTAGTGACAATCTGTATGAGCAGGTTCACCAGCAGATCGATTCCGTTTTCGGCTGCCAATAGCAGAGCGATGTTTAGTTTGACTCCAGCTTTGATTAAAGCCTCCAATCCGCCTTCAGTATTAGAACAGCATTAAAGGGCATACTTTTTTAAAAACACTTTTTTTTACCTTTGATGTGTGAAACCAACTCTTCCAGTCCTTTGAGCACGTTCAATAGCCACTGCAAATCGCCTTTCAACTTTATCAACCCTTTGCCTACTAGCGTTAAGATTCCTTTCAAAGTCCCGTTGAGAACGACTACCAACGATTTGGTGATGGTGACGAGTAAAGTCAAGCCCGCGTGTATAGAAACTTTGAGTTGCTCTTCGAGCCCTGCCACGAGTCGTACCAGTATGTGGTTGACTATGATCAAAACTTCCTCTGAGACATTAGACAGTTTGAAGCGTTTGCAGGAAGACACTTCCACAAAGACTTTTAGAGAAACGAGAGATTCAAAGTAGACCTCGATCGATTGCTTGGACTTGATCCATACCAAATCACTATCCTGGGAAGTGATGTAGAGGACAATTTGGGCGTTGAAGTCGATGATTATGGCTACTCCAGATGTGCCTAAATAGACGCTGCATTGGTTATTAGATTAAACTTTGTGCTGAATACCTCACCATTAAAAAGCCCCACGATGTTGTCTTTCAAGTCGATAACTAGGGCTGCGCCCGCGGTGACATTGACGATGACCACTAGCTGGGAAGTTTCGTTTACTAGTAAATGAAGACTGCTGTTGGATGACGGATTAGGAACATTGCCGCCGTCGCAAATCTGTAATGTGCAATTTCTTGGTATGCTTTATTTGACTAATTTGATCAAAAATTTATTCGACAAAATCTACATTAAAATATCCGAGGCACATTATTACGTTAACCTTAGAAGCAACCTCACAAAAAATATTATCAAAATCTTTGACATAGTGAAAAATTTCCCCAAAATTCAACTTTCATAAAAAAGGTTTGAATTCGTGTTTTAATGGTTTTAAAATGGTTCTCACTGGATCTATGGCTAATATTAAGAATTTCTGCAGAAACTGGCATTTTCTATTAGCTCGTTGCACTTACTGGGACACCAGGTATAAATAGTAGATACAGCTGGAATAATGTGGCCTGGCGCCATTTCCGGAAAAAGCTTTATATTTATAGGCAATATTTGTATTATGCATTCCGTGTACGAATTTATTCTGTAATAAATCAAAATGGCGGAGATGCGGGTTAGTTTATGGACGAAGTTATTGAAGTAATATTTTCCCGTTTTGGTTTTATATTTTTTAATAATCAGAGATTTATCGAATTGATGTCTTCTTTTGTTCTTAAAATCGTAAAAAGTTATACGCGTTTTTGAATATTTGCTCACCCGATTGAAGTGGTAGTTGACCAACAATTTTTTCAATTATGTAGTGTGGAAATTATTTTTGAAGTTCTGAAATGACGCAAATAGAATTGAGAGAGCACAAAATACGATCCAGTCTAGTACAAGCTACAGGATGCCAAATGGTTGAGAACAGGCGTAGACTATACTCCTTGGTATTTTTCCATAACATTATCTTTAATAACAATCCATCTTACTTGACAAATTAATTTATAGGACATACGTTTACAGATTAAACCATAGGTTAAAGGGTTCTATCTCTTCACCACAGGACGTCTAACTTTCAAAAAAGGTTTTCCTACAATATTTATAAACTTTACAAGGGCCTCGTTTTTTTTTTTTTTTTGAAAATACAGTGAATAGGCAAGTCGACTTAGACTTTTCACGAAATGTGTTCCTTTCATGCGTGCACACCATATCCATCAAGTTACGAACTACTTAAATAATTTCTTTCCTCAACAGCGGGCAAGAAGAGGTTTTCCGATTAGATGGCAACCTAGATCTCCTGATCTAACAAAGATGGACTATTTTCTGTGGGGATATGTTAAACGTCAGGTATATGAAACTGCCCCCACAATAAAAGAGGACATAAAACAGAGGATGAGAGAAGTCTTTCAAAGAGTTAGTCATGAAATGCTTGAGAATACGGTCCAATCGTTTAAAGACCGTGTTAAAGCGTATATCGAAGTCCGTTTTGCTCTTATTTTTTAGGTATAATATTGTTTTTCAAAAATTTTGTGATATTATCGCCCGGAAACAAGAATATAGGGCATTCATCACAAGCCATTTTTGACGAATAGATGGCCATAAATCCGAAACATTGGGTGATTGACTATGAAACCCAGAATATACAGGGTGTATATTTGAAAATAATTTTTAAAACATATAATATACGAGATATATTACTTAGAAACACTACTGGAATATCTTGTATAGTCACACCAAATAAGATACCCTGTGTATGTGTTTATTCTGTAACAAATGTGGTGGTGATTTCCGGTTATCGTCAAACCACTTGGTAGAATAACAAGTTATAAACTCCGTTGAAGAAATCTCATTCGCTCACCTCATAGATACCAAAAAAAAAAAAAATTGTATCTGTATGGAACGCAAAAGTAACAGATTACTCACCCATTCGCACACCTGGTCTTCTAGGGCCCTGGTATTGTGGTGCACGTGGGAGCGCGCATGCGGGAGGTGCTTCGATCTACCTTGGTGCGCGATTTGGTGCCCAGCCAGCAGCTCTGCAACATTTTGAAGACATTTAAACTCAAAAAACTGCAGTCGAGATGTTTAAAAAAACTACTTACCATGAGCTAGGGTGGTGCTAAGCAAGGCGCACAGCAAAACCGAAAGACTTTGTCGGTTCATCTTTGGTTTTGGAAGTGATGAACGGACGAAGGCGGCCTGCCCTTTTATACAACCCGACGAGATACCGAAAACATTTCCAAAATGCGAATGTCGGTATGCATTACGACCGAACATACCGCAAACCGGGCTTATCGGAAAATAGTAGCGAACCATTTGCATAAGAATCTTTCAAACGTTTCGCCTTTCAGTAATATATCGGAAATTGGTATCTTTTCCAATGTCAATCGTCTACGCTTGTACCGAAATTGTTTTGATTCCTTCCATAACAGTACTAGTGCTACAGTACCAGTGCCTAAGAATGTTCACTTACTAAATTTGGTTAAAACACTATCTACCTGGGCTTGAAGAGTCAGTTTATTTCATTCCATTTCATTTGTTAGCATGCTCCAAACATAGAAAATGGATACAATCAGTCATGGCAATAAAATATAACATGGACAAACAATTTTACAAAATTTGGACAAGTCGAACGAAGATTGTGACATAAAATTATCACCGAAAGCGAAGAGTCGATAAGATTCCATCATTATTGACATCTTGAAAAAAGATAAACTCCCCCAAGCTGCAAAAAGATTGCTTCATTAAAGAGTCCGTGACTAAGTTTTTGAACTTGTATATAGCAAGTTGTTTTTTCTTGCATTAAGACCGAAGAAATCTGGTCTGAGGTTGTCCTTATTCCGTGTTTTGTAGGGGTTAACTTCATTCAATTTCTTCAACGCTTTCATCGAGTTGAAGAAGTACAACAAATGGCTGAAGTGGCTTAAGATGTCGGAATCTCTGTTGGCTCGTTCAAGCGTGATATTCAGAGTGGCCGAGATCAAAAACAAACACATTCGAGCAAATGTCAAGGTTTCGCTTACTATTATGTTTATATGCCGTGGCGTGATACATCAAGAGTTCTGACCACAAGGTCGTAGGGTCAATAAAGAGTATTACCCTGAAGTTGTGAGCTATTTGCGAGAAGCAATACGAAGAAAACGTCTGGAATTGTGGGAAAACAATTAATGGATTTTGCATCACGATAATGCACCTATTCGCTCATCGTTACTTGTGTCCAACTTTTTAGCCAAAAACAAAACCACAATTATGTCTCAGCCAGCATATTCACCGGTTATGGCCCCCTGCATCTTTTTCCTGTTTCCAAAACTCAAGAAACCAATGAAGGCAAGAAGATTTGGAACGATTGAGGAGATAAAGAAAAAATCGCTGGAAGAACCCAAGGCAATACCAGAAAGTTTTCACCAGATGTGTGCTTCAAGGAAAAAACGTGACACAAGGAGACAACAATAATTTTGTTAAATAAATAAATACTTTTTGATGACACAGTCACCTTACTTTAATAACACACCTCGTATGTAGATAGAAGCCAGGGTCATAATCAGTAAGTGGGTTAAAATGGGTCTACAGTCGCAAATGGATCGTCTCCGGACAGCACACGCACAGCCTTTTTTTGTTATAGAAAATCTTTTTCCGCATCCAAGCACTGTACCATAAGAAATTACGTTGTGTAATAACCCAAAGTAGGCTACTCGTAGAGTCTCCGACGTTAAACAATAGCTAAGACGACTCAGTAGGAATATGCGCCGAGACAGTGTTACTCAAAATTTTTTAAAATGTGCCTCCCAGGATAGAGTTTTATCGATAACAATGTTACTGTGATTTAGAAAGTCCAGTTTACTACACGACAAAACAAGTTTTTGGGTTTTTAGTTCAATAAGTACTAAATTCTTGACAGAAAACTATTTTTGCAGAATATTTGTAACTGTACCAACATTTTCAGTGAGCATTTGATGATGTTTAGCAATGTGTGTACTTCAGCATCTAAGTATGAGTTAATACATGCTCATTTATCAACGAATATGTTTGAACTAAAACTTGGGAGCCCATAAATACACCCAACGGTTTGTTGATTTATTTAGTAAAATATTTACACATTCATTCAATTCATTTTTATTATGGTTTTCTTTATATAAAGACCTATCCCATCCCATCTATAAAATAGTAGTTAGGAATTTCAACTACATAACTATATATACGAGAGTCCAGCTACATAGAAATCATCTTTCCGAATAAGGTCTCTAAACTTGTCAGTGTGTAATGGTGAAGACACTCTCAAAATATTGAGCATTATGGTATTGAGCTAGCTGAGCAGTGCACTAGTTAATTTCGGGGAAAATGATAATTTCTAAAGAAACACATTAAATTTTACCAGTTATTTTTAAAATAAAACAGTTTTATTAAAAGTTGTTACATAGCAAGGTATATGACAATTTTTACCGCGTTTGTGCTTCTTGGGACGGCAAGCTTATAACTAAAATTAAATCGATTCTTAAATGTAGTGTTGTTAAAGCTCCAGTGTGCTAAATGTGTGGATCTGTTTTCAAAATTTATTATCACTATACTCATTCTCATTTGCGTTATATTTCCATGGGCCACCCTGTACAAACATGAACTCGAAGCAATTTTTTGCCAAATGCTCACATCGTAATCGTAATAAGTTTTCTGAAGAGACTGGATCCAATATTTTAGACACCTGATCCTCCTGATACCAAGGACACATATGAGTAGGCAAGTTTGATTCTCTGAAAAAACTCAACATAGTCATATTAATAAGCCCAATTACGCAGCTTCAAAATCAATTTAAGAAAAATTATACACGCCCAATGGTGACGTCAACTTCCAATCGTTTTACCTTACAGGAGGAAATCCGAATCACTTCCATTCAAGCAGCTACAGTTTGGAGCACCAAAACTTTAAAATGTTATATAAATTTTTCAGCACGCATGTAAACTAAAAGTTACTCAATAGAGCTTTTATCTTTGCTGCATCCCACTACGAGCCTCCTTTGTACACTTTCGCATCTAATCTTTTCTGGAAAGTTTTGCGAACATTTTTTGAATCGTTTTGTTATTATAAATACAATTTGAGTACTGGCAATTTTGAGAATCGGTCCTTAACTATGTTGTACTGGGAGTTTCTTCATAATTTGCCAGCCATCTTAACTTTTATAGTTTTTTAAAACTAAAACCTATGCCGGGAGTTTAAAATACTGCCTTTAGCTTGTATATACATATTAGTTAATGGGCATATAAAAATAAAAATATCTTACAAAAAAACGGAGATTTCCACAAAATAGACTAGAATTTTGAAAAAAATATTTTACGAACACCCGTATTAGAGTCTACAATAGACTGTCCCAAGAGCTAAAGGGCAGTAATAATGTAAACATTTTTAAATCCGAACTAAGGTCTTCCCTCCTAGAAAACTGTTTTTATAATTTAAACAAATATTTTACTTATTAATGTTTGTCATCACTGTATTGTTGTGCTCTGTCATATATTTTAATTTAATTTTCTGCCTCATTTGCATGATCTATATTGACGTACTTGACGAAATCCATAACACACTGACTGTATTCTAAATAAATTTAAGGACAGTAGTGGCAAGTCTGGCTTTCGGGCTCATTCACTTTGGAAGGTAAAGTGTATTTTGTGATGGAACGCTTAATATCTCTAATGTGGAAATTATTAGAGATCAGAAGTGCTAAGATTTCTTAATTCTAGGTTCAGTGGCTCGGGCTGAGTTGCATTAAGGTTTTCTGTTAAGAAAATGACCCTATTTTAGATCTGATCTTCTATTGATGAGAATATCCAAGAATGGGAATTATTATTAGTTTCTAATTCAATGGCAAAACGTATGTTAAGATGTATAGAGTTTAAATGGCCACCATCATCAACGTAGCGTTTCAATAAGTTTGGTTGTAGATGGAAAGTTTCGCGGGGTTTCTTCTCAAAGACTTCCATAAATATATTCGCGATTACTGTTGATATTGGAGAACCCACAGCTGTTCATTTGATGTTAGGTCTTATTTCTATTGATAAGGAGATCTAAGAATGGGAGATTATTATTAGTTTCTAATTTAATGGTAAAACGTAGGTTAGTGTTTGTAGAATTTCAATAGCTAAGAAAGTATCCAAGGGATTCTTAACCGTGAGGTCAAATAACAATGGTGTCATCAACATAGCGTCTCCGTAATTTTGGTTTCAGATGGAAGTGGTCGAAAGTTTTCTTCCCAAAGGCTTCCAAAAATTAACATTAAATAGGCCTTTTGTATACAATTGTAAATATACCCCCTTAACCTTAAGTCTTTGTCCATTATCATTAGAAATTTTCTCGCCGAATCACTCACGCTCGAGATATGTTGGTCCTGTGGTAGAATTATCACCTTATAATAATACAGGGTGTCCAAATAGTGCGTCAAAGTAATATATTTCATTTATTAAATGGCAATAAATCGGAAAAGACCATAACTATCCTACAATGGGGGTTCAATTAAAAAAAAAAAACTTTGTTTTCTAACTTATTAATTAATCGCGTATATTGTTAGTTTTTGTTTCTCCATTTATAGTGAGCTTTTTGTAAGCCTTTATAAATAAGCTTATAGTCTGTTTTGATAAATATTAGGGGTTCTTATTGCCCCATATAAAATTTCGTAGTGACCTCAAATCGTCCGTACTGCAATATGCATTGACATGTATATAACATGGATGTTCCACAACTGATAGCTGCTAAAATGTTTACGTGTGCAAGGTAAATATCGTTTTGTTTTACGTACGGATAGAGCAACGTCAGCTGTCATCGCCCCAAACGAACCTATCGTTAACGTCAATGGTTTTTGACATCTCATCATCATAATTCGAATTACCATCTTTTCCGCTTGTCTGCATTCGAACCACCGACTCTCGTACAACGATTGAGACAGTTCGGAGCTCTATAATATTAGGCTTATTATACAGGGCTTGGCAACACAGATATTGATGTTGCGGTGCATCTTATTGCTTAAGTCAATTGCTGAACTCTTTTTCTGTGGGTAAAAAAATGAGTAGTATTAGCAATTCTTCTTCACATAGTTCACATACAGGGTTTCCTTCGATGACCATCCACTAGAAGTTTTGGGAGGAACAGAATAAGTATTGTTGTGAGACAATATACAATAGAATACAATTTTAGAACAATTTCGCTTTTGCAATGTTGTCGGTTCTACCCGAATTCAACGACAATGAAATATTTTATTCGATATGAAAATTTAAACGACTTACTAATTTTTCCTACATGGTAAATAAAAAGGTTGTAGAAATTGTTTGGATGCACAATTTAAAACTTTACAGAGTTCCTCAAAAAGGCGTTACGAATAAAATATACCTGTTTTGTTAAATGGAACGCTCTATTATAAAATTTTCATTTGAATTTCCTTTAAAACACTTGAACTTTTTTATGAATAATAATACATCCCTAAACCTGATAGTTTTTCGAATATTTTAATTTTTATAAAAATGTACTAATTTTCAGGTACAGGGTCATTTTAAATTGTTGTTGATTTTCTTGATTGGCACACCATATAGAATAAATAGAAAAAAATAAAAATATGTATGGTGTGCCACTCTGTACCACCTAATATCCTAATAAAAGTTTTATTTATCTTCTTTTTTTAGCCAAATTGTATAGCTCAAAATCATTTGAAATTGTACGTTCTTACAAATTTTTGAAACAATGAGCTGGTGAACTTTACTGTATCTTTAACTCCCCATGTACTCAACAACTGCGCATGTAACATCGATAATATTTTATACAAGGGACGCAGAAAAAGTATATTTATTGTTTTAGAACAAATTATCTACATTACGTGTTCGCCTACTAATCTCATGTAGTTTTTAAAGAAATAAAAGATATTCACCATTGTCATGGCGGGCTTTTATTCGAATCCGCCATGGTGACAAGAGAAGAAAACGTATCTGGACTTCGAAGGACTTTAACTTTGCAGTCTTGAAATTATGCAAAATTATCCATATTGTCCTCTGAAATTCAGATCTTGTAGATTGTTCAATGTTCATATTTGCGTAGCTGCGGCATCTCCAAGAAAGAAATTTTCAGAACACATTTAATTTAAACGTCTTTTTTTTTGGAATGAACAATCGAGTTCGCATGATATCTATGATATGATATCAAATGTTAATTCACAGGTGTATCGGTAGCGCTGTGGAAACCGATTTTCAACGAGGATGGGGTCCACTTCTGGTGAAGCGTACCATTCCTACCGAGCTTCTATGTGCAGTTTCAGCCTAATCGCTACGTTGAGCGAGATGCTCCAATTGTTTTCGTAAAAATGAAAAAAAAAACTATATTTGAAATATTCAGCAGTGGCTTTCTGAATTGAAGATGGGTCGTGAGAGTACCTTCAAAAATAATTGAGAAAATCCATCCAATAGTAGTGGAAGACCGCAGATTGAAAGTGCATGACATAGCTGAGACCTGTACGATGTTAGATGAACGTATGAGAAAAATTTTGCAACACCATTTTAGCATGGAAAAGCTGTGTGCAAGGTGGATGCTGTGTTTGTTAACACTCTACCAAAAACTGATTCGAAAAAAATTTCTACCTATCAAAAAGGAAACCAACTCCAAAGAAGGCTAAAACAACTTTATTGGCAAACAAGGTTATGGCTACTGTTTTTTGGGATTTAAGAGGAAACGGTAAGACTATTACTGGTTAACACTACGCAGAGTTATACCAACGTTTGAAGCACGAGATGCAGATTCAACGACCTAATTTGGCGGAGAAAAAAAAATTGTTTCATTGCTATAACTCACCAGCGCAATCGTCCATTGTTGCCATATCCAAAATCGATGAATTGAATTTTGAAACCTACCTACTCTCATGACTTGGCCATAATATTTAAGAACAACGAAGAAATTACCGAAGATTAAATAAATATCTTGAGGACTTTGAAGAATCTGGTTCAACTAAATTAGAACACCGCTATGCGAACTGTATAGGTAATAAAAAATAAAGCAAAAAAAAATTAAAAAATGTTTTTTTTGGTCAGGCCGGAGAGTTTTCACTCCGCCCTCGCACCTCTAGCTGAATAAGCAGAACTTTATACCCATTAAATCTTGCTGATATGAGGGACATTTTGAATATTTAGATTGCTACTTTTAATATGGCGTTTATTTCACACTTTTTCACACAAATTTTTATGACCATGGGCAATATCTTTTATCACATGCACAGCTGTTAAATGCGGGTTTTTATTTTTTATACTTGCGTACAGAGCTACAAAAGTTGTATAATTTTTGCAGTATTATAATTTAGACTTCTAAAACAAATCAAGTGTGCACCGCAAAGATCTTTTCCAGAGGACTATTGTCAAGAAATGTCGCGGCATATAACAGAGGATCCCGATTTTTTGGGAAAAATTATTTTTACTGATAAAGCAACCTTCACGACGGCAGGTATGTTTAATCAGTCAAAATAATCATTATTGGGCAAATCAAAATACCGGAAAAATACAGGATTATAGATCGGTTGTGGTATGGCATGCTGGCAATCGCGATGACAATAATGGGCCCAATTTGAGTTGGTCTTTTAAAATTATTTGGAACGGCTCACATTAAACTGCTTTGGCAACAAGATGGGGCGCCGATCCGTTTACTGAACACACAAATGACAGATATGATCATTGGAGAGGCAGATATGGAATAATTTAGTGTCCGGCTAATAGTCCCGATTTAAGACCTTTTGATATTTTCCTATGGTAATTTTTAAAACATCGTATATACAATGATAGACATCAACATATACGAGTGTTGAGCCAAAGAATTAAATAAAAAATATTCATGCTCAATAGAGAGAGAGAGACTTTATTTTGAATGTTGCGAAATGCATTAAATAAATGTATATTCAATTTGAAATTTCAATGGTGCTACTGATTTCGGCTAGAACCGGCAGCACTGCATTAGCAAAAATCTATTTAAATTGCACGCCAGAACAACTATACCAAGTTTCAGAACAATATCTGTATAATTTATGTAAAAAAAAATTAACGTTACGATATCTTTTTTCCACAGTTCAGCATTTGATTTAATCAATAAGATGCTTTTATCGAAGAAACGCACACACCGACCTGAATTTTGATTTCGTTAGCATTCCACGACAGAATCGTTAACTGGCCGAAAATGAAACAGAAGTAGATACCATTGAACATTACATCCTCTCCCTAAAAAAATGATAGATATTACGATACGAATTAGGGGGCATTGTGAGGAATTTTTTGAAATTATGAGATATTCCACGGGACATGTATATAAATTATTGGAATAGTGAATTATGAACAAAATGTGTTGTACTATAAAGTCTCCATACAAAGCTATGCATTAATCGGAAAGAAAAAAGGGCACATCAGGTAACAAAGCAATCAATGTAAAAAACAGCTAAAATTTTAAAATTTGGATCAGGCAATGTTGCAGTGTTTCCAATAGCAACATCTTAAAAGTATACCACTCTCTGGACTGTAAAACTAAAAGCAGAAAAGTTTGCTGAACAGGTTGCCATTATCGACTTCAAGGCTTCGGAAGGATGGTTGGTAAAGTTGAAAGGAAGACAAGGTATAAATAATGAACAGATAAGTGGCGAAGACAGTGATGTCGACAAAAATATTACTAACGATTGGCTCGAGAAGAGACACAAAATTGACAGAAAAGGATTTTGCCGCCAAAATTTTTAATGCCGATACTGTGGACAAACCGCAAACGCAACCAGTTTTTTCTTCGCAAGGTCCCATCCCCTTCCAGTGATGGAGAGTCCCATTCGCTCCTTGACAGCACGAAACGAATATTCTCAAGTCAGGTTGATCGTCAATCTCACCGTATTTTTACACCGTATTATGTGACTTGAATAGCCGGAAATTATTAGCCATTCCCTTTCCTGTTGTGCTCTTCTCAATTTTGTGGGTTGGTAACATGTGCTGTTCCTGAAACTTTGAGGAACTTCGGTAAGATTCATATTTCAAACGCTTCTATTTCAGTGTATGCGACATTTTATGTGTTCCGCAACTCAGTGTTGACTTGAGTTTCCTATTCTAGTTTTTCTCTCTAGGTCAGTTCCCAACCGCTTCTATGTTTCTTTTTTCTAGCTAACACTCTACGTTTGTACTGAATCCTAGCTGCTTTCTCTTTATAATTAATTTATTTAGCAACCATGGGAGCGTTTCTGGAGTATCGGCAATAATACCATCTGTTTCATCCCGTACAGTGTGGTCATTTTGGTTGTTTGGGTTTTTGGGATTTTTTTTAATTAACTGGCCAATTAAAATTCTAATATTACCAAAAGTTGGTGCATGTTCTGTAATCATACTGGGTATAGTTTAAATATTTGCAAAACAAACAAAAATTGCACATGAGTAAAGTACTCTTATTTTTTTTTTATTATTTTTTATTTATTTTTTTTATTTTAACAAGACAGTTAAGGGTATCAGAGAAAGCAGAAAAAAATACCGCAAATTGTTAATATTTTTCGAACAGAATTTTTGTTTATCTTAGCGGGCTGTTTTGATATTAAGACAAAACTTTTAATTCTCTAAAACTGTTCTGAATAACATTTTGCTCAATTTTTTTTGAAATTTTCGTATTTTCTGTACTACCCTGTATGTTGTTTCGCTTGCAAAAAATGTGCACCTGATATGACCATGAAACATACAGTAACTATTTGCATTTTAGTTGTGCAGTTAGCAAAACAATTCCATGTGTTGCATGTCAACACTTTATGGTAAATAACAGCCGTTATCGCACCCCCCCCCCCCCCCCCCATGCTTATTTAGCCTGTTTTATTTCTGTTTTTATTATTGTGTTTATCTCTTCATATTTTTGTGTATTTCAGTTCTCGTATGATCTTCATTCTTAAATCATATCCATGATACGATCGGTCGTCTAAGTTTTCTTTTTCGTTCTCTGCTTTGGGGCTGTTTCTTCCCTTTCCATCCGGTTTAGTTTCAGTACGTTGGTGTAGCTTTTCATCACCAATCTCGGTGTGTTCTCATTAAATCTCATTTGGACCCTCGCTCATGTTTCTGAGTATTTTAATTTTGATTGATATTTGTCTTAAACTTTCTTAAATTTTCGATTACGTTTTCCACCACAGGATTATGGTCAGCTCACATCAGTTTGTATCTGTCGTTAATCAGTACATAGTAAATTTAGTTTTAAACCACGTTGTCTTTTTTATGTTGTGATGACGGCCATGTAGCGAGGATTAGGAAGAGTATTTTGTGGTCATATCTGACTACATTTCTATGTACTTCTTCTAGTCCTACATTGGCATTAAAATCTCTTAGTATTATAATCATTATGTAACTAATGTAAAATAAGCATTGGTAGACTTGCTATAGAATGGATTTTCAGATAGAGGCTAGTGGAGGAGAAGAAGAGAGGACGGTTGAAAGAGCGAAGAAGTATTGCGTTTTTCTTGGTGTACGATAATGGATAATAACTTCTTTATAAAAGTTGTTAAGGTCTGTTTCAGACTTGTCGCCAGTTGATCACGATGATATTTGTATTTTTAGCAGCTACTTTAGACATTACTACACCCACACCATTTGGGTGAGATGTTGGGTTATTTCCAGAGTGGTACATTACGTAGTAAATAATAACGCACCTGAAATATTTGAATCAGCACGGCTGCCATAAGCATAGAAGATACGCTATATTCTAGTAACAAAATCTTCTTAAATAACTGATTAAGTTGATCAAACCATCTGAAAACTTCTAATGTAGGTTAGGCACAGGTATATAGCGATATGTCGAGTTACTTGATGAGATCTTGGTGTTTCTGAACCAGGATCCTTAGATGGTTTCCAATTTCACCATCGCTTTGAGCGAATTCGAATCTATCAAAGTGCCTCAATTGGTGTTGAAGGATTTGCAGCTGGGCCCTAAAAAATATCGTCACGGTATTTGACACCCCCTGAACAGACCCACTGTAGATAGCTGTCAAGAAGGTTTCGATGATCTGATAAGTCAAGGCGCACACGTGGAATTTGTTACGATCGAACGGGTACCACAGGGGTGACGGTAGGGGCCTTTCTAGTGATGAATTGGCGGTATTGTGCGAAAACTTGTAACTCTTCTCGATTCCTAAAAATTACACAAAGAATTCATCAGAAGGTGATAGGATTTTAGGATTTACAACCACAATGAAGCAACAAATTCTTCCTACATTTGTAGGTTCTTCTTGGACTAATAGATAAAGTTTTTTGCAGGCTTCTTCAAGGCTTAACTGAAACTGGTTCGCATTCTACTCTGTACCTGCACAAATACCGTTTGAGGAAGCCGGAGCTGTATTTTGGGCGATTTTCTAGGTACATCTTCTACGCGAAATAACTTTTATAAAAAAAGTAAATGCTCCGATTAAAGATTAATTCAGACTATTTTACTCAGAACATCTGATTAATTCCTGAAGAACTTATAAATGAAATTTGCAAATCGATGCTGTTTGTCGTGAGCGGCGGATGAAAACCATCAAATAAGTAGAAGATCTTTTCGATGCCACTAATATAAAAAAGTAAATGAAATCCAGAAGCAAGAGACCTAGATGCTATGGGCATTAATAACTGGAAGGAGGTGTCGATTCAGGATCGTGAAGTCTAATACTACTAATTGTATTTGTACTTTACTGTATTGCCACGGTAAAATGCCGGCCATCTGCCTCCAGCAACGAACAAAAGTTCCAAGGTTGCTTCCAGCGTTCAGATAGCTCAGAAATTGCTTTAATATTTCCTGCGACATTTTTCCAGACACTTGCAATAGGTAATTCACTGGTTGACTAAACTCGAGCAATTACTTTTAAATTGTGAAGTGTAAAGTAACTTAATTTGAAAATTTTAACAATCAATAGAAGAAAACTTACCTATCTCTGTAAGATAAATGTCCAAAACAAACGAACAAATCGTTATAGCTGTGGTGATTTTGTTGCAGTACTTGACGTGCTTCGTGTAAATTCGTCTGATTTCTGAATCGTGTTGTCTATAAATATCCGATTCGTCCTGCAGCGCGATGGATAGCAGTTTCCTCATACTCTTCGACTGGCATAGGGTCAGTTTCATTGTTAAAAGTGCCACGTAAATCAACCGAGACAGTATCTTTATCGCTAGAACATACAAGCAAACGCGGAACCACGTTTTTTGAGAATTAATAAACAAAAATTATTCGCAGAAAGCTCAGCTTTTAAAAACATATTTTTTGGTACATTAAGTAAAAGGAATTTAGTGAAAAATTACGCTCCCGGCAACCATCTTGGAATTCTAAAAATATATTAAAAGTATATAATATATAAAAAAAATAGTTTTCAGCATGTTGCATTCTTATCTGGACACCTTGTATAATCGGCACCGCCTTCCGAGTGACCTAGTGATAATCCACCTTTTCTGATGGTTTATATTTTTCAAAAGAGACGAAACTTGAGTGGCATTGGATTTAAGGAATTTTGCAGACACACAAGATAAGGACTGTTGATGAATTTAAGTTGAAATTACTATTGTCATCTCGGAATCTCAAAATTTTGAAAAAAAAAACAAGAAATCTTTCAATTGAGAAAGGGTACCGTAATTCAATGCAATTTACAAATATTCTGTATTCCTCCTGCGTTGATGAATCGAACTTGCTGACGTTTCGTCAATCGTCTTGTTGGCTTCTTCAGAGCTACCTGTTATGTATCCTTTGATATTGGCGGAACTAAAGAAGGGAACAATATCTCGGATGACTGATTCCAATATTGGTGACAGGTAAAGACCTATATCTCGGTTAAGAATGTTTGCTTGCTTAAAGATTTCTATAGATTCTCGGATTTTTCATTGGTAGAAGAACTGATTACATGGAAGAATTTTTGTTTTATCGAATAAAATTTAATGTCCCTGTATTCGGTAACTACTAAGGAGTCTTCTTGTCTTAGTCTTAAGGCTCTTTCCACGATCTTTGAGCCTAGTGAAGAGGTAAATCCCGTTTGGATAGTTTTTCAGAATATTTCATATGTGGTCAGTGATGTGTTCTATATAAGGAAGAACAACAGTACCAAGTGTGGGGTTTACAACATTATTTGTGCTTTCATTTTATTAGATAGCTGTGTCTGTAGGAAAGACTTGTTCATAAATAAATAAACAAATATACATATTGACAATATATTCCGGGATATCATCCGTTTATTTGAACTTCGACTGGAATCCTGCATCCTGCAAAATTTAACGAATTTGAAATTGACTTTATATCACTTGAGCGCCATCTACAGTGAGGTTTATGAAACGTCGGGTTAATCACGTTGAAAGTACTGTTTTCAAACATCGAGTTGATGAAATAGTGCAAAGAATTTATGTGATTTTGGAACTTAAATTAATTTTATGTCAGTACCGTGGAACGGAACATTTGAAATTTGTTCCTAGTTCTTGACGCTTTGAAGTCGTTGTAATATCCTTTCAGGCTATTATTTTTATTACGATATGCATAAAAAAATGGAAAAATCTAGTTGCAAAAAAAATTAAGTAATAGTCAGAACTGTATCACCCAAATACCTGTGTTAATGTCGTTTGATACCAGTCTGCAAAATTCTAAGACGAAGGAGATAATAACTGAGTTGAAAAATACTTGAAGCGAGAGGGAGTAGATTTTGTAGGCGGATCTCACGAAACGCCTGGAATTCGACAGCTCCAACCGCCACAGTCCGCTAAAGACCATCAACAGTTTGGTTGTTTTGAAGAGCTCTCGTTCCGCGGACATTGTGGAACTATGTGCCTCCTGAAGCCGGAATTATTTTGTCTATATACCTGACCACAATTACTAATTCTGTGTCCAGCGGCGTAGACAAATTTCGCTATGCTTGGGTAATAAACAACAATTTAATATTTTGGGATTTTAGTTATAGAGTGACTTGACTGGATTATTGTAAGCGGACGGCCCTTTATACGCAACATACAAATCAATAAAAATCAATAAAAAACAGAAGCACATTCAATAAAATGGTGTGGTGGTATTTATAACACAAAACAGAGACGATAATTTTCTGTATAATAAAAATTAACACACATATTTGACTTTACTACTTAAAATTTAATTTATTGTTATTTGTGCTATACGTATGGTCCACATTGTCATTGTCATAAATCAACTTAACCTCATGGTCACGGTGCTAAAGATTTGGTTGAGGTAACCCCACAGTGCCGGAGAAGAAGAAAATTTTTGTGTTTATTGAACCTTGTTTATAAAGTTTAAATATTCATGTTGTTTATATCCGTTACATTGTCCCAGTCCAGCTAGAAATTTTATTAAGATATGAAATAAATTTGTGTTGTGTTAAAACGTTTTTATAATCGACATCATTTAAATGTTATTGTCACATACGATTATATTTATGAATGTAATATTTTTGATTTTGATCCAAATTGTGGAATAACTGTGTAAGAACTATTTTGGGTCAATAGTAGAGACGTGTAGATTCCAGTAATTTCGAAACACCAGAAGTAATACTGTGTTGGAAATTTAGTGTTGATCTTACATACCTTATAACACGATCATTTTTGTGTATGTTTCCATTTTAACATATTAACATTTATTAACATTAGATATGGAACGGACTTTAACTTAAATCATACCGAGTGAACGAATGATTATTGTATCATTAAAAAAATAATATAATATAAGAGTTTTAAGTAATATAGTATAAGAGCTTTAAGAGTCTCTTGTTCGAAGTCTCTGATCTTGGAATTTTTTTAGATAATTCACTTTTTCACAATTTTGCGGATATTTTGGTGTCCTTTTACGTTAAAAATGACTAGCAACCTTTAATATGGCGTTTATAAACATTAAACATAAATTATATATCCGATAGATGTTATAGAATGATCGCCCATGATAAATATATAACAATATTTACCATTTTATAAAAACGTAACATAATAGTTTCCTAAATTATTGACTTGATGGCAGCTTGATAAAGTTCACAGACATTCTCTTAAATTAGATGGGAATCTAATAACATCATGTACATATTACGGCTCTGATTGGGAAATTCTATTACCAGGTCAACTTTACTGATTTTGCCTATATTTACAAAATTTTAAATATATGTTTTTTAATTTTTTGTTTTTAATAATAATAAAAAACTTTGCGTGGTCTTCTGTTGCAATTACAATCAAAACTTTTAATAGACTTCATTGATATTAATGCGATTTTTCGTCTTTACGAGAAGATAGTTGACTCAAGTATGATGTTCATTTCGATTTGAACAACGGAAAACATGGCGATTTGAATTAAATCATTCAATTATACATAATTAAATATTTCGTTTAAGACCAATAGAATATTTCTGAAAACAGTACAGGTAAATAAAATTGTCAATATGTTAGTTATATTTAATAAGGGTAAAAATATCAAATGGCCTAGCATCTACATATTTGTCCTTAGGCATGCATCAATTAACCCCTCAAATGTATTATTGAAATTTTGGCTCATGCTGAACGGTAGCCATTTTTTAGTTCATTTACATTATTCATTTTTGACTTTTCCTGATTACATAATGTCTTTGTTAATATCCCCCGGACCTTCTCTATCGGATTTGGGTCTGACCTATCTAATAGCCATTCTAATAACTACAGCTGCAATAATGGATGCGTTTTCCTGTTGTTTTTTTCTTTAGTCAGCGTAATGAATGGTAGAAAGTAATAATATAACAATATTGGATAACTAACAGCAGTCATGGCCCATCGATAGATGCCAATTCGATTTTTGAGGAGGCAGATTTACCGGCCCAGACCATAACCGAACCCTCCTCTTTTAATTCTTCGAGACGTAATAAAAAATGGTGACTTCACCGAGCTTCTGTGGCCTTGTGAAAAACGAGCTGACAATTATAAACAATTGATTTAGACACTTATTCCTGGTTAATTTACATTAAAATTCAATTGTTTATTTCAAATTTTGAATTAAAAAGACTCTTATATTAAAAAAAAAACATAACTTCAAATAAAACTATAAAAAACCGTAATATTTTCTGATTTTTGCAGAAAAAACGAAACATTGCTATAGTTTCATTCAAACAAAAATGCTTTTCCTTGTTTTTATCTTAGAGAAACTGAAATTTAAGATGTAGGACTCAAAAATCTTGTTGACCTGTGCAATGTTTCAATTGAAAGAAAGCCATAATGAAAGTGTTTTAGAATGGTGGAAAGTGTGTCAAAATTCTTCATCGAACTGCATTTTGAGGGTACCTCCATCTAGAGAAAGTCAATAGCCATTCTACACTGAAGCTCAAGGAAAGGTCGGGTATCAAACGCTTTGCTACTTGAAAATTGGGTAAAAAATTATTTTCTTAAAATATCCCACCATAATTATGATGATTTCAGCTAAAAAAGTACCTATTTCAGTGGCAAAGAAGGGGTATTTGAATAGCTCGTTAGCCATCTTATCACTGCAATTTGACTCTTATAGAAATGGTATGGGTCGAAATAAAAAACAAAGTCAGGCCCGATAATATAAACACAAAAATGTCCGCTGATAAAATCAGGAACATGGCTTGGCATTTTTTCTCACCGTTCAGAGAAACCCCTTATAACCTGTAAACTCCGCAAACAATACAGTCGAAAATACTCAAAAGTTATCAAGCAACAAAGGGCAGACCTCAGCACTTATCCTTGTCGGTCCTTAGACGGGGAATCCATAATAGCCAGTATTTCTAGTAATTTAATACTTCCCTAAAGCTTTTGAATACGGGGGTGTCATTGTGGCATAAGAAATGCAAAACGTGAAACTTAAACCCCGTGTCGTATTCTGTTGCAGAAGGGTGGTTCAAATGTACTTTGTGTTTTGCGTATTTTACCACAGAAATAAATTCGAAATAACCAAAATATTTTCTAAGTTTCCTTTGGCTCATCCATTGCAATTTTAAATCCCACAGCTCTGGTCGAGTGAGAGAAAAGATGCTTCCGCGTAATTCCGTTCTAACTACTTTACTTTTTTATAATTTTTTTTGGTTCTTGATTTTTTTTATGCATATTGTTAGTGTATTTTACTGTAATAATAATAAAAGCCTGACAGGATTTCAATACAACTTCGAAGAGTCAGGAACGAAAAATAAATTCAAAATTTTCGGTTCCATCGTACTGACTCATTTATCCACGGTACTGTCATGAAATAAATTTGGTATACATTTTTATAAGAAACTTCCACAAGCTACTGTAATACTATTTATAAAACTTCTGGATTCCTCCTGCTTCGGTTGTTGTTGAATCGAACTCGGTGACGTTTCACCAATCGTCCTGTTGGCTTCTTCAGACCTTAACTGAAACTGGCTCTCCTGAACACTGTCTCGGTGAAATACTGGTGAGAGGCTATATTAGATCCATAGAATATTCCGGTTAGTGACGACGTAGAATCACTCTTTGCTAAAGTCCCTATTCCTGAAACTCTCAACTGAAACCAAACCTTCTCACCATAATTGAAAAATATATTTTTTTAAGGTTAAATGTTAAGGTTTAATCATCGATTATCTCTTGGTTACAGAACCTTAAAACTATCTCAGCCAGAGCCACTGAATCTAGAATTAAAACACCTTACACCTGCTCCTTTCTCTAATACTTTCTACATTAAAGATATTAAGCCTTCTATCATAAAATACACTTCACCACAACCTTACAACAGCAATGAAACGGAAAGCAATCCCACACTTGCCATTGTTGTCCTTCCTTATATTGAAAACATCACTGGCCGCGTATCAAGTTCTTAGATATAGCGTCAAAACCAGATTTACCACTTGTCCAAAAATCTGTCATCATCTTCAATCCGTCAAAGACAAAATTCCATTTCTGATACCAGGAGTTTATAATATTCCATTCATATGCGCCAAGGAATATATTAAACATTACATTACAGCTGTCAAGAGCATCAATAAAATATTAATCGATAAAACAAAAATTCATGAATGGAATCAACCCTTCCACAAAAGAAAAATCTACACACTCATCAAGTTTGTCGGTCAATCATGTGGTCCATTTTGGGACAGATTCAGTTCAATATGTACCTAATTGATTTGACTGCTGCTCAATAATAAGTAAATCTTTATTGGTAGCTCGGTTTACAGAGAGACTTTTATTACAGAAACGTGATGATATACAGAGAGTTCTATTTGGAGGCAAACGATCACTTGTGATCAACCCTGTATAATGTAGAATTAATTTCTATATTAAGAAATTCTGTTTTCTAATGTCATGGTAATGATAATACAAACTATTAGCCTATCGCAAAATGCAATAATATACATGGTGTACCATTTAAAAATTCAATGTTGGTGATTGATATAATAGTTTCAAAAAATACTCAAAATCATTTTAAAAATTGGCAACATCGGCGCCTCTGGTACGTGATTATTGTTTCAGCACAGGATTTTCGTACCATCAGTAATTACGGAAAATTGCGAAATTAGTTTAAACGCAAATTCAATATTCGCACGGAACAGATTATAGAGTCGCCTATAATTAGGTCAAGTTGAAAATCTAAGGAAAATCTATATCGACAGTGTAATTACCTCCCAACAGAGTGAAACAAATTATTAACTTTACAGTTAATTAGTTTGCGTCAGCGATGGGTTTAGTCTCATTAAGCCTCGAGGTGCGATTCGACGAATCGTCTCGTACACATTGGGATTTTCGGAAAATCTGGACCTTCCGACTATATTTGTGCACCAGTTGCGGTGCACCCTGTATATTTTTGAAAAATTGTCAAGAATAAAAGTTTATAGAGTCGTATCTTCTGCTTCTTCTGGTTCAAGAATTTTTTTGGTCTCGTAAACGGTTTCTGAAAAATGGTCTTTTTTGTAGACACGCGATTTTTAATTTTTTTAGAATACTTCCCGACCCGCCAGCCCCCCCGTTTTGAACAGGTTCCGTCACGCGGCAAAGCTGCATATACGTGCCAAATATGAAGTCGAGTGCTTCAAATTTCGGACACTTATCGTGTTTCGTAGCAAGGTCCGAAAAACAGTCGAAAATCACGAACAAAAGATGGATACCGGCATCGGATCAGGGCCATTTCTTATAAGCTTATGTGCCTCGTGAAGGGTTAAAAAGGAGTCAAATTTTAATTTTATGTAGCTCCAACGGTTCGAAAGTTATTCAGGAAAAGTCAAAAGACAAGAACGGAGAACGGAGAATGCAAAACGGACAGACAGCTCCGTACTATGCGTTACGCAGTCTACAAAATCACTACACATGTTTGCATTTTAAAGGCTTTTTGTCCTAGAGAGACGTATCGTTTTCCTATCGTGCTCCTGCGGACCACTATGGAACTTTCTCAAAATCGATGTGTGATTTTTTACGAATTTTGATTTGCGTCTGATAATTTAGTCTGGAAGAAAACAATTTTCAGGGTCTTGTAATTGAAAAACCCTGTATACAATCGAAAAAATGCTTGAAATAGGACTTGACGCGTCTCCCGAGTAAAGTATTTTGCCGATTAGGTTAATAATTTTCGAGAAAATATTTTTTTCTGAAAGACAAAAGAACCGAAAAAATCATTTTCAAAATTAAAAAAAAATAATTATTGAGGTTTGATTCTGCTCAATTTATGGAGTTTAGATGAGCGTATGGATTTCTACTTCTCTGTTAAATTTAGCACTGAATATCCCGCACACTGTGTACAATCTGTTATAACTTTAAACACAAAGGTTTTAGCTGTCCATATGGACTGAAGCTGACAACTGAAACACAGACTTCTAGATAGAGTCAATTATGATGTAACGGGAACCCAATTTTTAATTTTTTGCGAATACTGGGCACACCCTGCCATTGTCAATTGTTTTCCTAGTAACATTGCTGCCTGGGGTTTAGGTTATTGTGAAATTATTCTTCTTCAAACTGTTTTTAATATTGCCGAAATTTACTTCTTTTGACCTTTTGCGACTAGAGATCAAATTTCTTATAATGGGCACCTATAGATTTTCAAGGCAGTGTTTCGATCGTTAATTAAAATTGACGGACATGATGGACGTTAAATATAATAAGGTGGCACAATAAATAAAATTGATTAGAATTCAGCTTCATAGTCATCCTTTAGACATACCAATTTATCAATCACATCAGATAGAACAGCTACACTCAGCCCTGTCTACGAATGACGTCTTCATACAGCAAACCAGCTAAGCCACAAAGGAAAAACCGTAAGAATATTAAAAGCTTTACTGATAGGCCGTTGCCTGCTTCCAACACTAATGGGAAAAAAAGAAAACTGAATGCAGATTCTCCCAAGAAGGGGAGGACACAGCCACATAGGAGAGGGCCTATTGGGAGTGCATTTTCCTTAGCTTCAAATCTGGACAAAGCTCAATAGGTATCGAGAGAGTTACAAAAGATAATCTGGGTCGAAGTGAAAGACATACCAGTTGGTAATTCTTCCAAATTCGCGTAAAGAAATGTCAAAAGAAGGAAAGAACTCCAAAAGCGATATTTGCTTCCCCATTTATACACCTTTTTAAACGCATGATTGAGATGTTAAAAACAAAATTATATTAATTGTTAACTAATTTAAAGGATTAATGATCAATTAAATTTTTAATCATTTAATAAATCTAAATTAAATTAAATTAATTAATTTTGTTAATTAGGATATTTTAATTAATTAGATAAATTGATTTAAGTTGATTTATTTCATTAATTGTACTAGTTTAATTAATTATATTAATTACTTTGCTTGAAATAATTTTAATGGTTACATTAATTTAATGAATTAAACCAATGTTCCCACACATTGTTATAGAGTACAAGGACTTGATGGTTTGGAAGTCTTCACCATTCTCCATCGATGATAATTAATTTATTTTATTAAAATACTTATTTAATAAAATAAATTAATTTCGTATTAAAAAGTTCCCGATAAGCACTGACTTGTGGATTTTCGCATTAAAAGTGAAATAGGCGCGCTTGCGGGAAATTCGGGTTCTATTTTCCCGATGGACGTTCGGAAAATTTCAGTTCCACGTCGGGCGTCTATACGAACGGTCGCGTATCGACGGTGCATAAATCGTCACGCAATTACGAGCCGTCGGCAACACAGGTAAATTTTCACCTACAATATTAAAAGTTTTATATTCTCACGCTTTTGTTAACTACACTACGTTTTCGGACGGGACAATTTTTATTAATTTAAACCATTAAAATGAATTTAATTTAATTTTATTGAATTAAGTAAATTAATTAAATTTATTAAATTATTGCCATTTATTTGTTTAATTAAATATATGGAATATATTACATCAACTAAATTAATTTAATTTTAATATATAATTATTCACCTAATTATTAATAAATTTAAGTTTATTTTTAAAAACTAATTTAGGCATTTTAAATCTAAATATGTCTTTAAACCCAGAAGGGAATATGACTTTTGGCGTTGTTAGCTAACTTCCTCTTGCAGTGTATATCGTTTAGTAGTTGTCCAAGTAAGAATTTAATTCTAATTAAATTTAAAATTGTCGGAGACACATTCTAAGGTAGGTCTAAATGAGTACTATTAGGCTGTTTTATCAGTTCTGCGTTCAATTCAGCCTCCTTAATTGATATATCATTGATTGTTATAATTATAGGGTAGTTCATGAAAATGAAAACCTATACAGCGATCAAGAAGGAATTCGAAAAATATTCATCGATTTGTTTAGCCGAATCCATCGAAAACAAAACGTATGCTTTTTTTATTATAAATATAAACTAAATTATTCTGCTTTTCCGTTACTGTTAAAAAAAAAAGTGGCGACCTAGATCTCACTGTCTTATGTTTTAAAATCAATTGAATTGTCCATCAACGAAAGATTTTTAAACTCCGAATTTCCGCTAGGAGTCAAAATGTTAACATGATTTCATTGTGTAATGTATTGTATTATAATTGTATGTAGGTAAATTTTTACTCTACTAAATTAAGAGTTCCTTATATAAATATTTTTATGTATTACACTAAATTTTTGAACGAGATAAATAAATAATTCCAGTTAATTGAATTAATTTTGTTAATTGTAATTAACATGTTAACATTTCCTATAAATATTCGAAGGATGAAATATATTATTTTTTATACCTGTATCATGGGTTTGAAATGTTAAATAGGCATATAAAATCAGAAGCGAATAGGACTTTTGGCATTGTTGATATATAAAACATGAACAAAAAGAAATAATCCATAAAGAATAATTGAATTTAATTAATTAATTTAATTTATTGTAAAATACTTATTCTTACCGATTAAAACAATATCGACTTGCTACAACTTTCTCGAGGTTCCTATAACTGACGTCACAAATGCAGAAAATTTTTATTTTAAAACATTGGAAAATAAAAGGAAAACAAAGAAAATCTTTTAAAAGTGGCGTAAAATTATTTTTTATTATTTATTTACAGAAAAAAACCAGATAAACCGTCATGGCTTCTGATTGAGTGCGCAACTGTTTTCTCTAATGTGATCGATGCAATAATAGGATCAAGTGATTACCATAAAACTTTTGTATCAGTCTTCGTGTTACCTTCCCTTTTAAAAGGGGTAGTTAATGGGGTGTCCTCCTAAATAGGAGGAGGTTGGCGACTAAAGCGGCAATCTTCACCTTGGAAGTCGCAGATCGTAACGGTTCCATTGATTTTTACGGTGCCGCTTCCTTAGATCTTTCAAAAAGGGATTTCTTCTTCTGCCAGGTGCTCTTTTTTCGTCCATTCATGAGCTGCAGTAATTATCATTTGTCACCACGCATAATATGACAGAAATATTGGAGTGTTTTACTCTTAGTGGTATTGGCGAGTTTGGTTTGTGTGTTCATAGACTCTATCTATCTACAGGAGCCTCACTCGTTTATTTCAAAGGCTGCTTTACTTTTTATCACGAATTCTGAGACAGTCTATACATCACTGGAAATACATAATATTCTAGCAATCTTTTTCGTTGTTCTATTCAGAGATTACTGTTAGACAGAAGTGTTCTCATTCTGAAGAATACTGTTAATCTTGGTGTCTTGTCTCCCCACTCTTCTGTGTTTCATTCACTTTAAGGTTCTAACAATAATCGGGGAAACAGCGATCCACAAAGATTTCTAAAAACGTGCACTGAGTCACTTGAACTTAATTGTACAAATTGAAGCTTTAAATTAAACTTGAAATTTTTTACGATTCCTCATTGTATAAAATAAATAACAAAACTGTTTCGAAAACTTATATCTCACAGTCCTGTCAACCTCTTCATTCAACTGAAATTTGAATAACCACAATGTTCCGAACTTTTTATCAGATAATTTTTGTTGTGCAATTTGCTTTCTCTGCCTCAAATGTTTTCATGATTTCAAATCCTTTCCTTTAATTTGATATGATTGTTATAATTATTGTTATACAGTTTACTATAAGATATAAGAGATAAGATTTTATGTCGTACGCCCTGCATATCTTATTACAACGGGGAAGACTATTTACTAGTTGAAATACTAAAAGGATGCCGAACTTCCATTGTCTTTATTTTTAACTTAAACAACGTTTCGGACAGTTGCGTAAGATGTGTAAATTAAAAATAAGACAATGGAAGTTCGACATCCTTTTGGTATTTCTACTGAATCAGTGTCTACCACCTTTAAGCTACTTACTACTTACTAGCTATTGCCTACTGCTACTTTAAGCCTCAACCTAGGATTCTGTAATACTCAATTAAGCACTGGAACGCATTAAGCACAGTTGAAATCTCACTAAGAAAATGTTGTTGGCGCACCTGGAAAATTTGCAGCCAATACTCGAAATAAGTCGTCGACAATAAATTCCGATTGCTTACTTGGCAGCAAATCAAGGTCTCCCGAACGGACAAACAATACCATTAGAGAAGCATGGTGCGGAGCCAACCTAGCGGGCAAAGATAAAAGTAAATCTCGCAATAAATAAAATCTACTTGGGAAGCATCCCTGCAAAACGTACGACATAAAGGAAACGCTGAGGGGCTTCCAAAACATGTTTTTTTTTTTACGGTATAATACACAGGGCGAGATAGTGATATAAATTATTTCCCATTTCAGAATACGTTTATTTTGAGAGGTTTTATTTGCGTATCACTCTATAGGGCGAGTCCCACATTTGTTTTCAAAAATTAGGGAAAATGAAATATTTGATTAAAAAAAAACTAGACCTCATCTTTCAGCTTATCCAGTTAGGTCAGGCTGGTTGAATATGTTCAATCGATATAATTCAATTTGCAAAACCTTTCAATGTGCGACACTGCTCTATCTGTACAACTAAATTAGATTTCGGACGGACGTCCGCAATTTCAATCTCCGTCCCTTCACTGTGCCCCAGTATCGAAAAAAACATTTAAAAATATCTTTCTCATACCAAATTGCAAATATGATTAATCAATATGCTCCCTTGATAGACTTTCCGCTAAAGCTATTGAGACTGAAAAATAAGTTTTAAAATTGCCTTTTGGACAATCACAATGTATACTAGCAAGATTTCACTATAGTCCCGTATAGAGAAAAATGGACCAGACGCTAAAACGGAAGCACAAAACACGGTGATGTTATGCTGGCAAGAGGAATGGGACATAGATGATGGTACAGCGGAATGGAGTAAAAAGCTAATTCCAAATATAAGACCCTGGTTTAAGAGACGACACGGTGAAGTAGATTTCTTTCTTACACAAATACTCACCGGGTACGGGTGCTTTGAAGCCTACTTCAAACGTTTCAATCTGGCCGAAACCGAGGAGTGCCTTTATTGCATAAACGTGGATACGGTTGAACACACTCTATTTTTCTGCACAAGATGGAACATGCAGCGGAATATAGCAAAGCAAATACTCGATCACATAAGCCCAGACAACCTAGTAGAAAAAATGTTAGAGTCACCGAGAAATTGGGACCACGTCTGCAAAATGGCAAAGCAAATACTTTCTGCCAAGAGGATAGAACGGCCAAATCTTATACAAGCTCGCTGAACCTTAGTCAATAGGAGACCGAAAGATCATAGGGCGCGAGAGAACATCACGCGCGTCCGGACGACACTCCATCTGAAGTAATGCTTATTGTTATAAAATTGTTATAAAATTAAAAACTAAAAAAGAACTCGAGTGAGATTTTCACATCAAACCCCTTACTCGATGCACCGAAAACTCGCAACCTCAGTTAACCCTATTAACGTTGCGTCAAAGCGTTACACTACCCACTATACAACAAAGTTAGGAAATTAATTGGTTCAAAAGGATGAGGCACGTCTCATTTAGCAATAGGTTTAGAGAAGCGTGGTATTACATATTAATGAGGGGATAGTTTCCGATCAATCAATCATTTGTTTTTGTCCAACTATATAATGCCGTGGTAAAATAGTGGTAAATGGTCAGCTAATAAACAATCTTTCATCACGCATAATTCTATGCTGGTTGAATAAAGCTTACTGTCAACATGTAAAGTCAGTATTATTTACTATTAATTTAAATCCCTTAAGTAAGGTTAACTTAAGCTCTGGAGAAAACAACAACCAATGCAGGAGGAATTCACAAGATTTGGAAATAACAGACAATAGACTATTATTTTTGGGGTTCTGAAATGGCCACCAGAGCAAGTAGTCGCCATCATGAATTCTAAAATCCTTTTATGCAAAAATTTCTTGCATTAATCATATCCTTACTAACATAATGGCAAGAGAAATGAAAAATAAGAAAGAAAAATTAAGTTTATTAACTTTTTAACGTTTTAAGTAATAAATAGAAAACAATAAAAGAAATAAACAACACTTTTTCCCTCTAAATGATGTGCGTATCTGACAATACGCCATATAGTTCATGGCTGTCAAAAACTCTCTTAATTATATCCCTTTTTAAATACTCAGGGTTTAAATTTATCTAGCGCTTAACACACTAACATTAAAAAAGTTTAATCCGGCTGCCCAAGCATACATGTTGGATGTGCTTTCCCAGAATCATCAAAACGGTGTGTGCCTAAGTGGGTATATGCAGCAAATTATCCCAATAGAAGACGGTATAGCAGATTGGCATTTAGTTGTTTCGGTAACTTATTTTCGAATCCTTAAGAAAGCGTTTTCCTTGTTCTTCGGAGTACACACTCATTTTATCTTTAAATTAGTCTAAATGAGAATGTAGCATAAATTTTGAACTTTGAACTCTTCCAGACACTTGATCATTATTTGTTTCATTTGTGGTTCAACGAAAATACCCGTTATTAATTTCAGTTTCAGATAATTAAGGAATGGCGACATTTTGCACGATTGCTTCCGATTTCCCTTTATATTTTGCAATACGAAATTCGATTCGATCAGATAATGCACTGAATCTGCTGTGCTACACCCACCATTTCAAAATCACCGAACACTGGCCACTGTTATTTTGTGCACTTCAATTTTTCTAGTGTTATTTTCACGCTGTCATAGCTTTCTTTCAACAATAAAGAATGTGCTAGAGAAAGGCATTAGCAATTCATTTCTGTTTTTGAAGCAGAACTGCTTTTAAACTTTTTGAAGAGCTATAGGTAAAAAACCTCCGTCGGATGCTGCGAAGGTTATTCCAATTGTCGCAAGTAATTCGGTCATGTTGTTACATTAACAAATACCGGCTTCTTTTGTGAAGAACCATGAAAAGCTTTTATGGCGCTCTCCTCGTGGACCTAGAATTTCCGCTTTACTCTTGGATAGGTTCAAGTCTCGTTAAATTCACTTGGACTGACAAAATGTGACTCAGAAGTTTGGGATTTTATCATGAATTCATTACCATCAGTGTTAGTTAGTGGTATACCGGATTCTGTTGAACTTTGTAAGGCTTCAACTTCAGAGCTATCTGAACGTCATGACACATGGTACCGGTGCTGAGGTTGAAAGAAGATTAGGATAAAACACTTTTTTCAGCATTTTCACCGGATCAACGCTTACTTGGATTAACTATATAAAAATGACAGTCATGGACGTGATCACTAGGTTCCCTCCAAGCCCTGGCGCCGCAAACCTCATGCATCGGTTTTGTACTTTTTACCAAACTAAGAATAACATAAATACGACTATTATGATTTTTTTTTCAAAGATACTTCCACAGGCCACTATAATGCTTTTTACAAAACTTCTTGAAATTGCTGACGTTTCGCCAATCATCCTGTTAGCTTCTTCAGAGCTTGACTGAAACTGGCTCGCATTTACTCTGTACCTGCGTATGCATTGTTTGAGGGGGGCGCTAATGCTTATAAATAATAAAACAGTTTATTTTCAGGTCAATCAAAGCGCTGCCATATATGCTTATAAAATAAGTTAATGTATACTTATCGACGTAAATCAAATATGATGTAAAACTGCTTATTTTTAAATTTAACGTTTATGCAATCTTATAATAAAAACTGAAATAGAAAAATATTTGGATATTGGATATTTTAACTAAAACGTGTTACTATTTACGGATATGTTCCAAATCTCGAAAAAGCTTTAAATAAAAATTTACGCGATTGACGCTAGGTATTATTGCAGTTTTTGAAAATCCTCGTAGACGCCGTAGTCCTGGTTATGAGTTTCCGAGGAGAGTCATGAAAGATGCACCTGGTGAGCTGCTGGGCCGCCTTTGTCTTGGGGTTTGCAGGCACGCTCGTAGTGTGCTCGGTGGCTTTGCCCTCTGTCATAAAAATAGGTGAGTGACACTGTAGACGATCGGTAGTGATGTAGTTCACACGTGATGAATGGTCGAGAACACAAACAAATATTATATTGGTTATAAATGGGAAACTTTACTCTTGAGAATAGAAACAGCATCGCTACCGCCATCTAGTGCCGTGTAAGAAACTAATAACGAAGTTTAGAACCAAAAAAGGGATTTGCGGACCTCGTTCCTGCCGAATTTAAACGATAAGTCCACGGAAGAAAGGGAAATAATTATATGATATGAAGAAACCAAAAACGAACTTGTACTAACATGATTTAACATACTGTGGACAAAATTAATAATCAAATATAATACCTATTATGATGGATCAGATCGAATTTCTTAGGTTGTTTGGAAAGATTCAAAAAATTTCTTATTAATTATTGTGAACATGATTGGCAATATTTTCTGTAGTCTTAAAATAATAATCTTCAAAACCTTGGAAGCTACGCTCTTGCATATTTGGTTGTAAAAGAGCAAAAAGCAAAATACAATTAAATGCGAAGCTTTCGGTGATAGGTTTGTTGATTTAGAATTCAAAGTAAAATTATTATTTGCTTGATATCTTTGACGCATCTCCTTTATTAACTTCACCCAGGTATTAAACAATTCTGGACTAGCTACGGGATTTGGGAAGCGATGCTTGGATTCATTGTTAGTACCCCGACAATTAATCCCACCTTAGTATATAGGAGAAAAATTGAATCCTGAAAGAAATATTAACAGTGCTAAATAACACTACTTAATATGTTCAATAAAATGTAAGACAGAAAATTAAACTTGAGATGAGAGATGAGAGAAAAGAAAGTCACTGCAACAATGAAATGAAAAAAAAAAGAACAAAGCACTTCAGATCTTCACTACTACGCAACATAGTCACAAAGGCGGACGGCACCAGTGTGATTTCTTCCTGGATTTAAAGAAAATGCTCGAAAAATGCTTTACCATACTAAAAATGTCGTATATTGGCATGTGGTTATGTAGTTAGTAGTGTTGTGGTCTTAAGAAAACTAATCTAATTTACATCAAAAAGTCGCTTCGACGTTTTTCAATTCCAAACGGGAATTCTGCTAGTACATCGAACCGTTTCTGCGACTTGAAAACACGGTAGTTTCGGAATATATCTCGATTTGCTTCCAATAGTTTTGAAACTTAATAATTAATAGACGCTGTCAAGTTCGGCAAACATTATTCGGGTCCGTCGCAACGTTTATCGACGATCTTTTCCAATCGGTCCGATCCGGAAGCCGTTTAAAAGTCGCCGCAAAGTCTCGACTTAAACGGAACGCGACCAATTTGTCAATTATTTACCGTTTTTTACAAAAACGATGTCCAAAGTACGCAGTAATCCTATCAGACCGAGAATATACCGGGTGTCTCACTAATAACGGTATTAGGAAAACGGGCGGTCCTATAGTCCAAGTCAAGTTAAGGTTGGACAAGGAAGAAATTCCATTAAATTAGTGGAGTAGAAGTTCTTGGGGTAGTATTTAAGGCAATAAAAGTCCCCACCCCTAGAAGCGTGGCAGAGTTCCTAACAACCACCCCCAAGGTAAATTTTTTCGCTTTTTGTCGAATAACTCCATAATTTTCCATGTCGAAAAACAAGAAAAAAAAATAAATATTATGTATAATATATATAATTATAAAAAGTAAGATCATTTTTTAAATGCTGTTTGTAAAATAAGGTCAATTTTCGTATCAACGGGTGTATTTGATAGAAAAAAGTAAAAAATGTCTGTTAATATTATTCGGAATAATTAATAAGTAATAATATAGTCAAATCTTCATCTCTTTTGCGCTTATATTTAATTATTTAAGTTTTTATTGCATAATATGCTATTAACACAGGGAACGGTCATTAATTGGTTTTAGCTGGACTTTAATTTATCTGCTGCTTGGTGTTGAGCCTTAGTAATGACGTCTCCTTGAATAACCGTTCTGGATTAGATCTTCTTTAATCCGTTGTTGCTGTTGGCCTATATGTATAGGTTTTCTGTAAACGGAGGTATTAATCTGATCTGAATCCGATCCCGTGACCATGACATAGCGGTTACGAGTAAAATAACTGATAGTTGGTGACAATTCTTCCTTGTTTTGACACTTGTCCGTCAATCCCAATTACAATGCAAATTCAAATTAAAGACTCCACCAATGACCAAATGTTACACATCTTTGAGATGGCATATTATCCCAAAAGAGGAAATTATTTCAAATGTCGAATCTGTCCTAAATAAACTGCCATATCAAACAGATAAAGGGGATGCTACGCAAGTGAATATCAGGAACAAATTGAATATATTTTTACAGACGGATCCTATCGTCAACTTAAAAACGATCCCACGTTATCTATGGAACAAAACCTTAAATCTATCACTAAGGCTTCTTCTCTTTGAGAATCCATAAAAAAGTATGTCAGCCCTCATGAATTTAAAATTCCTCGTCTCTACGAGCTCCCTAAGATTAACGAAGCAGGATTGCCCGTTTGTCCTATTGTCAGCGTCCAACACATCCTCTAACAAAATATCCATTACAGGGAAAACGGATAGTTGGGTACTTAATAGCTTTTGTTTCATTGAACAACTAACCCATTTCATTTCCTTGATCAATTAACACCCATTACATTATATCCGCGGAATATTCTGATTAGTTCTCCATACCTTTTATCTAAAACCAAAATTACAGAAACGCTACGTTGATGAAACTTTTGTTATCTGGCCTCATATATAAAAAAAATGGTAAAACGTATGTTCAGATATAGATCCGATATAGAAACTAATAACAATATCCCATTCAATACAAAATTAGTTGCAGAAAACATACGCACATAGACCGATCGATACCTTAATGCATTGTCACATCACCATCCGACCCAATTGTTAACTATATATTAATTTTCCTTCACAAAATACACACCACAACCTTCAAAGACGAGTCCGAAAGCAACCCCGCTCTTGCCACTATTGTCCTCCCTTACATTCAAAAAATCACTGACCACTCACCAAAGAAAAAATTCCGTTTGAGTTTGTAGCATTCTATGCATATGCAGCAAAGAATACATTGGAGAGAGCGGACGAAAAATAACAACTAGACTGAAAGAACATGAAAGAGCCTTAATTTATGCGCAAATAAAAGTAAATTCTTGAATGTAATGAATTCTTCTACCAAGCCCAGAAATCCGGAATATATATAAATCGGAGTTTCTTTGAAATAAAAAATTTATTTGGTAATTACTATTGGCATTTTTTAAAATATAAAAACACGTTATGATAGACTGCAAAGTATTCACAGGCTGATACGCCAGATTCCCCCGCCCCCGCACCCTGAAAACAGTGATCACATTTCTTCAAAACTTCAAATACGTCGACGGAATAATAGGAAATTGGTGGGCCGAAATTCAACAAGTATTTATGCCCAAAATATCCCCTCGCGGTGTTAACAACTTTAAACGAAATGCAAATTGATATGGAAATCCGCACTTCTAATGAATATTCATCACTTGAAGGCTGACGCCGTTTTATTTACAACCGCAGGTAATCCTTTGTTTTGCAAAATCGTCTCATTATTCATATTATTCACATCGTAACGAGTTCGGTAATTGAAAACTAGCGAAACAAAATCTGAAAGGGCTTGGTCACACGGCCGGAGGCGTTTCCTTTTCGTAATGAAAAGTAAACCTCGTCTCTGAAGAAAAAAAATCTTTTGCATCAGGCATGTTATGTGACGAACATTGGAAATGGAGATTGAAGAATCCGTAGGCTTTGATTTAATTCGAGCACAAACTTCTTTCTCAGGCAATTTCTTTTTTGCTGAAAATTGGCGACACTGTCAGCAATCTCATCTCCATACCTTGCCGTTCACAATCCGGGGCCTCTTCAGCTGTACAATAATAATATGCAATATACAGAAAAGCATACAATTTTATAAAGCAGATCTAAAGGTTTACAGGAGAAATTCGAAGGGCGTTTTCGATTATTGACTACTACTGAAAAAATATGTTTACAGAATATCGCAACCTATATTCTCTTAAGGCTAATTCTTGTGCAATGTCCATGAAGATCTAAGCGTTCTCGAATACTGTGGAAAGCAGTTTTTTCTTTGAAGAAAAGTTGGTAACAACTAAATGATACATAAAAAGTGTGTAGTTTTGACCACGCTACAATTTTATGTTTTTTTTTTTATTTCCGTGGATGTCTTGTAAAAATGAGATGCGGTTAGAAATGCTATTGCGAAAATTAAAACCCCACTACATGTTTACAAGGGTTAGAGAATGTTTTGTAGTTGGTAATAAGTTCTATTTACTTGTATTACTTGTAAAAAGTAATTTTTTCTCAAAAATTACTCAAAATTACGCAACGTAACGACAAAAAATGCTTAAAACCAGGAGATTAATTAGAATTTTTAAAAATTTTGGTAGCACTAAATTTCAAAAAATTAAGTTGGTTGCTATGCTGGGACAACGGAACACCCTGTATACATAAACAAAATGTTAGGGTCAAATAATTTTAGTATTTAACTTTTTTTCCTCAGTGTCGGACTTATTGAGATAAGGAGCATATTAGATGGCCAATCTTGCTCGAGCAAGCGTTAATGTTTTGGGGAACAGAATTCAAATATTTTACTTCATGGTAACTAAAAAATCCCTGAAGCATGGCCCAGGAACGGTCCCAAAGTCCCTATAAGTCGTGGTCATATGTTGAATATCGGAGCTTCTGACCAGCTTATCAAGTAAATACAAAAACAAACCACCATTCGTCAGCAAAACTTTCTTATTGCAGTAGCTCAAATCCAACAAAGTACAAGTTCAACAAAGTACAGCCATACCGAAAATGCTTGACACGGTTCTTATTTTTACAGTGCACTAAAAAAATACGTATCAATTTTTTATTTTTTCTGCATTAATCCTTCATTTTTAAAAGGCCTTCTGTGACGTTATCCGATGCGCTCCTTCTATTAGCTTCTATTTCCCCAGTGCCCTTTTGTACGGTTGTGTCTATTCCATAGCATTGGAAGTTTTGAGTTCTCCATCCGTTTGACGTGTCCGTACCAAATCATTGTTTGATTTCCATGTTATCTGTCAGAATCTCGTGTATGTTCTTTCTTTCTACTACTTTGTTGTTTTCTCGAATCCAGATATTCTTAACGGTCTCCCAAACACGTCCATTTTCACTGAATTTACTCTTCTTTTATTATCTTCCGGCAATCGCAATGCTTCTGACCCATATAAGAGGCCGCTCTTCAGCAGCGAGTTGTAGATGCTGTATTTTCTTCTTTTTAAAATCTCCTTACTCCAAAATACTCCATTTAAACCTCTAATAATTGTCCTTATCTGGCTTACTCGTGTAATGATTCCTTTGTTTTCAGTTCCATGTTGATCAAAGGTCATTCCCAAATAATGATATTCTTGGTATTAGTCTAGTTCTATGTCAGATGGAACTTCTTTCCGATTTTAATTCTAGATATTGATTGGCTGTAACACTTCAGAATTGTTACTTTACTGGAATACGATCCGGTAGTTCCGCGCCTACATTTTAAATTCTAAGCGCCTTTTTTTCCTGCCTCACCGGCAAACACCTGATTTGTTCTGACGTCCGCGCTACCAGGCTAAGAAAGTCGTAATTTAATTCGCTTTATTTAGTTGTTATTACCAATGTTTCATGTATACACTTCTTAATAAATGGTCTCCTTTTAGCTTTTGTTACCTTTACCATTCTATTCACTCTTTAAAGAGTCAGTAAATTTTCCGGCTCGTTTTCGGAATTTAGCCGCTGTCGGCTTATACGCGGAAACTTTATAGGGTCCTTGCAGCACTCGTATCTCCTTGAAGCCCTGTACTCGCCTTAGAGCACCCGTACTCCCTTTAGGAGGGCTCGCGTTTCGGAGGCTTCTGGATTGACGTATTCGGGGAGGATCCAAACTTCGAAGTTCCTGTGTTCTCTGGATATTGGAGCACATTTGAATCATTGCGTAATAAATAACGTAGACCAGTTTTCATCTGTCTCTTTTTTGTCCCCTTAACCTTCACGACTATCTTATATCGATCGTACCGATTTAAATTTAATGGTAGGTTTCATCGTTAATGTTCTCTTTTTTGTAAAACATCTGGTTCCTCACACCATCTGAGAGACTGGAAGGTCTGCTACTTCCTGGCGCCCTAAGGATAAATAGTGCTATATCTTCTTTATAATTCGTGGACCCCCCCCCCCATCGCTCCAGAACTCTGAGCACTACGGGTAACTACGGGTGTTACGGAAGGAGGTGTCTGACCTCGCGCAGATCTATCAAGTGAGCCGGTAGTCAAGCAATGATTCAAATGTGCTCCAATATCCAGAGAACACAGGGAACTTCGAAGTTTGGATTCTCCCCGAATACGTCAATCCAGAAGCCTCCGAAACGCGAGCCCTCCTGAAGAGGGTACGGGTGCTCTAAATAAAGTGAATTAAATTACGACTTTCTTAACCTGGTAGCGCGGACGTCAGAACAAATCAGGTGTTTGCCGGTGAGGCAGGAAAAAAAGGCGCTTAGAATTTAAAATGTAGGCGCGGAACTACCGGATCGTATTCCAGTCAAGTAACAATTCTGAAGTGTTACAACTCCCCCCTTCCAAGAAAAGGACGGAAATTCTGTAAAATTTACGGACGATTAGCGACACATGTGAAGTCTATATTTACTTCTCAAAAAAAAGGAAAACAAAAAACAATCATCCAAAAAAAAATTCTAAGAATAAACGAGGTAGAAAAAAAAGGACAGCCAGGCAATTAAGAAAGTAATTAAAGCTAGCGAAGGCACTAATTAAATTAAAGTGTTATTGCAAAGCTAAACACGACAAAATCACTAGACATATGACGATCGACTTAAAACAAAATTAGTTTTCATCTGAACGATTTAGACCAAGAGGTGCGTGGCATGGCGATACAGATTATTTACTGCTTTAATAAGGGGGTTATTTGTATTTGTAAGTTCTAGTGACATTAGATGACCTTCCATATTGGTCAATAAATTGGTTTATGTAGTATACAGTATCCTTTCTATACTCCATACTCTGCTGCTATCTGGTCCCTGAGGACCACAGAGTCTACTAACTATAGTTTTCGCACTCCAAACTCAAATAAACAATCACCCATTATGAATTGATTAATAAAGAGCAATATCTCAGCTAAAATAATAGTAAGTGGTCAAAAACGAAAACGAAAAAGCCTGTAATTGAAACAAAATATGACTACCACAGATCCAATATTATCCGGTTTGTTTTTTGTTTCGCAGGTGCAATCTTTACCGAGCAACAAAAAGGCGGTCCGGCTGAAACAGCTTTCAAGTACGCTGTGTACAAGATTAACAGGGACAAGACGTTACTACCGCACACCACCCTGGTTTACGACTTGCAGCATGTCCCGTCGGACGACAGCTTCCACGCAAGCAAAAAAGGTTTTCCGTTTCACGTCTTAGGATTAAGTATAACTATTTCAAACAATAATATTCATTACAGGTTAATACAAAATGTAATGCAGAAATAATTTATTAAATCCGAGATTTATTTTTTTTATTTATTTATTATTTTGTGAGTAGCAGAAACATTAATAAGAATGAGTGTTAACCAAAACTACTTTATTTTATTTCATCTGAGAGGACTTTGTTAAATGGATGAGAAGGCCACTTCTTTTTAATGATGGTACAATAGAAATATGCCATATGTTACTAAAATCTATTATGCACATTAAGACATTCGGAAATCTTTAAGTAATTAAAAAATTCTGACTACTTAGTACTATAAAGTACCTTGGGATTTCATTAAACACAAAATAACCCAAAAAAAAAATTCTATTAAAAAAAAATCCCAGGGACTGATTGTGATCAGCGTCTAGATGATAGCTGTGAAGACTTTCGTCAATAACTTCAAATGTAACCCTCGATGGGACCTAAATATCAAAATGAAAGAAAACGCCAATTGAATCATGGTGTTTTAGTTACGGCCAATTTTTTTTGCAAGGGGAACGAAATTTTCATATTTTTGCCCATAACCGTCACATGCTGTAGATTTTTGATATACCATGGACAAATAAATTGTGGATTAGAGTCTCGCCTATTTTCTGATGCAAGAACTTTTGCATTCGAGAGATTGCATGTTTCCGGGTACCCCTGGTTTGTGATTTTTTTTTTCATCCACCCACTTCCCCAGCCAAGTTTCAATAGCTTCTCACCGAGGACCAAATTCTATTTCTCCACGGAATATGAAATATTTCCATCTTATTTACCAACTCACCTCCATTGTAGTAGCATCAAAATTTTAATCCTTTTGTGCTGCTGGTGTTCGAGAAGGTTTTTAAAACCTCCTAGCTTTTCCTATGGGATACGAAGGTCAGCCTCTTCTTAGAATCTTTAGTAAGAGGCAATCTATGCGGCTTGCCTTCACGAGCCGTAGTGCAATTGAATTTTTCTATATCGATTGTCCCTGTGCATTTTTATCTTGGTTAGATTTGCATTATTTAAAAAAGATTTTTCTGATCAATTCAACTCATACACATGATCCATTTAATACGCCTCAGCAACCAATTGTTTCTTTTTATTAAAAGTCTGGCGACCTTGTATATTAAAGATTATACTATTTCCATTTTTAATAAGCTGGTTCACTGAAAACAGGGTTTATGTTATGATGGTTTTTGACTTTCCAACAAAGGTAAATATCATCCCTACATTCAACAGGAATCATTGTTTTATTGGCTGCTATAATTTCTGTGGTCTGAGTATTTTTATGAGGACCATGGGAGTTGTAATCTCCATATCATTCATGACGTCTGTTTTACCAGCCTTCTTGATTTGTTTGCTTCTTCAATAGAAAGCACTGCTCACTGTGATATCACACTCCATACCGGGTCTTGATGGTATGTGGTTATGGCTATACCAGAATGCCCGGTTAGGACTACCATTGGCAGAAATTGTTTTGCAAATCCAGCCAAGATCAAAGAAATTGTTTCAGTCAAGTTCTAATTGGTATCATATGAGTAAATTTTCCTGGTATCTCTTCTACTACTGCCACTTTTTGTATTACACGGAATGTTGCGGCTTACGCGTGGCAATAAACACAAATCGTCCGTCAGCCATTTGTAAGCGTCACCCGTTACCCCCGCAATCAATCCACTTTTTATTCGCAAAATGGCACCGCGACGTTGTTTTCCTTTCTTTCCGGGCCATTTTTTTTTGCCTACGAACGGCACCAAATTAACGCGATCCTTGGATCCTTTTCGCAGTTTCCTTTCGTAGCGGCGGGATTAAAGTCGGCGCGGAGAAAATGGCGACAGCACCGGAAAAAAAGAAGCCGGAAATAACAATTTCAGTTGGGCGAAAATTACTTAAGTTGTAGTCGAATTTCTCAATTTTTGGTTAGTATTGTATTGTTTTATATTAGTTGTATTGCAATCGTAGAGAAATGAAAAACTGAAGTTATTAAATTGGTAATAATGTTATCTTTCAAAGGAAGAAAAGTTTCAAACATTTCACCCTTTTTATTCCAATAACAATATCGTCAGATTAATACTAAATGAATGAAACCAAAAGTTTCATTCGAAAAAAGTGAACCGTTGTTAGAAATGAAAATGAAGACATGAATATTTTGCTCGATTTTGGAAAATCCCGAAAGTTTAATTTAAATTGCACACAGACAGAAGACAATGAGTCCGACAGCAACCCCATATTTGTTGTTCTTCCTTACATTTAAAATATCACCGACCACACATCACAATATAACGTTATGTGTATCCACTAGGCTCAAAGAGGATGAAACAGACCTAAAACCAAGCGGTTGCTGAACAAAATCATGAAAAATCATGGATCATCATAACTAATGAGATAAAACTAAAATTCTGGGATATAATCATCATACAAGCATCTTTCTTGGGTTCCAATATCCCAATTATAGACCTCGCTATCTTCGATCCTCTCTATAATAGGGAATTCGTTTTATAGGAGCGGACCAAATTTAGAATATCTCGAAATTACTTTGCACCGGGTCCCATCAATTGCGATTTAATTACCGATCTGATATTGCCGCCGCGACATCTAGCGAGCTTATCGGTTAATTAAAAGCCAGTTAAAATCGCATTTAGAAAATAAGGTCGTCCGAGCCTCGCGATGAATATCACTTCCGCTTTCGTATATGTGTAACTTAATTTTCCGGATCTAAACGGGAAATTTTGTTGGTCGTATATCATTTTTCGAAGGGTTTTTTTATTAATGACCTTGTCGCGATGGGCGTTTCGCTACGCCCTTCGCGATCGTGATTTCCGCTGAATAACGGCTTTTTCGTGAAGTGTGAGATAGTTTTCGTTTAGTCCCGAACATTGCGAATATGTAAGACTCTCATCGAAAAAAAGTCGAAGTGTTGTGGGCATACCGCGGATCTAAGGGTGTACATTGTGATTCCCTTTTTGTGTATAATTACGTAGATTCCACTAGAATACTTTGGAATTCCGTTAAAATTCTTCGTTTTTCGAAAAAGCGTTCCACTCGGTCTAAACATTTAAACCAATTCAGGGGCGGCTCGTACTTATGCGCTGCAGTGTTGCAGAACTCCCAAAAAAATTAGTCCTTACGGACAAAACATTTTTTTTGTCAACAATAAATACTAGTGGAATAATCAACCTATAATCGCACTGTGTAGTATTCCTTATGCAATTCATTCCTATACCGAGCACGTGACCCTTGCTTATTTCAAAATCGCTAAAACCTTTGGCTTTGTGGATCATTGGTTCCATGTTACGGTGCCCAATTAACCTCAAAAGCAATAATGATATAGGTCGATACCTGAGAGTACATAGTTTCCTAAAAAGGCAGTCGGCTGGATACAGGACAAAGAGGTCAAAATCGCTAACTCCTCAACAAATTACTGAGTTGCTTCAATCGCCTGATGATAAATGTTCTTTTAAAGAGGTTTGTGGACACAACGTCGAAATGTAAGGTTACGTAAAATATTTTGCTTCAGGTTGGATTAATTTTTGGCATGATGGGTGCCTGTCGTGGGGACGAATAATCAAAAGTGAAAATTGCACACACACAAAATCTTAATACTGCCATTGTTGACACAAAAACAAAGACTGAGCGTCAAATTACAAATTCAATACTGATAAAAAAATAGATAAAGAAACTATTATACAATCAATGACAACTGAACCATACAATACTACAGATAAGCAGAATTGAACACAAGAAAATAAAAAACATGCTTACGAAAGATTTCCAGTCAAGACTCAACAGCATATTAAAAAGTAAGCTAAACTCAAGAAATATAGTCAAAGCAATAGCTACGCCCTCCCATCATTACAATATTCATTCGGTGTAGTTAAATGTTCGCACACAGAGCTTGACAACATTAATAGATCAACACACACGAAATCTCACGAAGCACCGAATGCACCACCCAAAAACCCAAAAGCAGATGTAGAATGCGTTACGACACCACGAGACTAAGTACCCCCCCCCCCCGTCGTTGAAAGGTGGAAAGATAAAAATCTACTGGGATAAAGCTATTGTTACATACAAAACTACACCGCATAATAGACCAGATATAACAGTAATAAATAAACAAACAAACTCAGCAATGTTAATAATAATAATAATAATAACAATAATATTAATATGCTTATTCTGTAGACAACGACAAATTTAAATTAAAAATAGTACATCACATTTTTTATATCCACAAAATAAACAACTGAAAATTCTACCTTAAACCCTAAGTTGTGCGGGATAAGATATCATAAATTTACCCTGCCATATATTGCAGAAAGTGGTGTTAATAAATTTTTAAATGAAATACAAGGTATAACCTACATAATATAAAAATTTTAAACAAAGAAAATCTGAACTTTCAGTTCCTGTTTATTTTGATATTAATTTAAATTTTATATTGAAAACAAGCAAATGTTACATGTATTTCTTCAATATGCTGCCCTATTTTTTTATTTATTCTTGTATAAATATATTTTTTCTCATATTTCTCATAGTTGTTTATTGCTTCGAGGCTTAATTTTTTAAGATGTTTTCTAAAAGCACTTAATGATGTTAAAATCCTCCTTAAGGACAATATAAAATTTTGCCTACCTATTTGTTTTTTACATTTATTTGTTATCACGTCTCCCCTTTTGGTGTTTCTTGTATTGTAAGAATGATTTATATTTTGTCGTTCGGCTTTGTTTTTGAAAATATTTAAATATTAAACATTTCCACTGCCTAAATAGTTATACAGAAGAATACTTTCCTTTTTTTTTGGAAATCTATTTTCCTCATTCCAAAATACCATATTGCAAACATGACTGCACTAATGCACTAAAATGTTTCTCAAATATTATATGGCCTTAGTAAATAATTATTTCATTTTTAAGTGTCCTTTGCTATTCCTAAGTGCAATAACTGTTTTTTCTTCTTTCACCTAAGGGACAAACCAGCTCAAGTGTTTACTGAAGTAGTTTTCCACTTCGATTCGATTATCCCAAGAATCATCGAACCAAGAATGGCTCCTGACGTGTTTACATGGTACAAATTATTTATGTAAAGAATGAATAATATTGGCCCTAACACGGATCCCTGGGGGACACTATGGGCAATTTTTTTTTAACTATATTATTAATTTTTGTTTTCTGTTTTCTATTCTTTCCGTAATATAACCGTATTCCGTGTACGGTCTGCAAGACCTCCAACATCATTTTATGATCAACTGTGTCACATGCCTCGGAAATATCGAGAAACACTGCTAGACTTTTTTTTATTGTTTTTTAGTGAGCTGTAAATTTGTGAAGTTATTATAGTTTTGCTTCGTGTAGACTTACCTTGGCGGAATCGATATTGACGAGTTCATAAAAAAATAATATATAATAATACGGTAATTCCAAATATGCCCAGATTTTCTATAAACTGCAGAAACGCAAACTCTACAAACCAGCTGCCGGCATTAATAAATTCGGCAAAAGAAGTTGCTCAGTTTTGAAAATTACCTTTTGCGAAGGCCATCAGCTACCATTTTAGTATATGCTTGGGCTGAAACGCCATGGAGGTTAGCGTTCAGTAACCCGTATAATTATTTGACCAACAACATTGAAACAACGAAAAAGATTTTGCGGACAGTCAGATTTTGCGAACAACAGCAGTTTCCAAAATGTTTCGTTTAATATTACAATTTATAGCAAATAAAATTTTTGTAAGTACACTATACATATGGCTATCCAAAAAAAAAAAGAAACTAAATAAATGCGAAGTTGTGCCTAAGTTTTCGTGGTTTTTCAGTTATCCGAAGTGAAATCGGTCTGTAACTCGACGTATCCATTTTTATAAAAGTACTCTTTCAGAAATCGAGTTGTTTATTAAGTATGTAAGAGACAGAATCAAGTCCATTCCAGTAGCTTTATTATTTTTTAAACCATCAATTAGTATTTCTGTTTTCATTATTTTAGAGACTTTATCAAACTCAACTTAAGTTTTTCTCCTATCCAGCGTGCAAACAAGTAAAAAATGGAGTCTACGCAGTGTTCGGCCCTTCCGATCCTTTGTTGGGGGCGCACATTCACTCCATTTGCGACGCCTTGGACATTCCGCATTTGGAGACTCGCGTAGATCTCGACAACGACGTCAAAGAGTTCTCGATCAACCTCTACCCTGCCCAAAATTTGCTCAATTCGGCGTTCCAGGACGTCATGGATTTTTTAAACTGGACCAAAGTGGCCATCATTTACGAAGAAGATTATGGTAAAAGATTATTATTTACTTTTCCGAAATTAACGCACGTATTGACAACTAATGTTTGTAATGCTTTTCTAAGTTGTTTTTGAAACGACTGTGTTGTGTTTATCCAAAATCCAAAATAAAGTTTTATAAATGTGATCAAAAAACAATATCTACAAAAAAAAATTGGTTTTCACCACATTTTTTATGGTTCTTTTCATTAGTAGTCTTTAAAATGTACTCTTCTAAATTGTTATTGAAAGGACGATATTGGGTAAATCCAAAATAAAGTTTTAACAGAAAACAAACACTATCCACTAGAAAAATTAGTCTTCCCTCCACTTTCTATATTTGTCTAGTTAGTTTTTCATTTTATAGACACTTGTAAATCGGCTTTTTGTTGGTTTGGGGGTAAAAGGTCTTTCTTTTATAATAGGTCAGGCAAGTCTTGCTTATTTACAGAAAATTTTGTATATAAAAGGTAAGATTACTCTGTACAAAGACCTTTTTGTTACGTTATAGAGACCATAACTTTATCCCTAATTTTCTTAAAATATGAAAACCTCATCCGCTTCAAAAATTCTTCGTCAATTTAATTTTACTTTCTTTCGAGACAGAATTAATCACACCCGTAAAGCAATAGACGACATCAATAGGACTTTTCTGTGTCTAGATATTGAAATTGCTTCCTCTTGTCTCCATCCGATTTCGGTATCCTTTCAAACATGGTTCAAAGATCTTCTTATATATTCTACCCAGAATCACATTTAAAACTAAGTTTCTAAGAAATATAAAGTCAAAAACAGATTTACAACTTGTCCAAAAATCTCCCAACAGCTTCGATCCGTCAAAGATAAAATTCTCTTTGAGATTCCAGGACTTGCGGCAAAGAATCCTTTGGAGAGATCAATGTCGTAATTTTTTCTGAGTCAAAATATATTTCTTGAAATTTTTTTTTCTTTAAATTTCGTTCATGCCGCCTTTAAGACAAACCATCAATTTTATAGTGTCCTTCTAAGCTGCCTTCACCCAGATTGAAAAACGACACTATTATTATCAGTTGCTGTGTTCTCATGCGCCTAGAATGGACTGACTCTTTGTATGACCTTAACTTTCTTTATGCACAATAATAACGGAATAATAATTCTCAACGGAATAGATATCGTTACAAAATAAAAATGTTTCATAAATCTGTCACTAGAGGGCACTTTGCCTAGAACTTTTATTATTTTCCCTGTATTTTATTTATTTAGACCGTTATTGCAAAAAAACAGATTGCCTTACGCAGAATCAGAAATTCTCAAAAATTGTTACTCTTGTTTTAAGTCCATAAGTGTTATCGTGTAGCCACAAATTGACTTTTTCATTCTAATCTACAGAAAGGTGATACTGGATATGGCGAAATGCATTTCTGTTCGTGCCCTCTAGTAACAGATCTGGGAAACACTTTAATTTTGTAGAGAAGTGACTTTTACTAAATGAGGGCTGTGTGTAAAATACCAGCCTATTCCGTTGAGAATTAAGCCCCTTACGTTAAGAATAATTAAAAAAAAAATGTTGTTACGTGATTTACTACAATTATTTTACCACGTTGAATGTTTCCTCCAAGTTTGCGAACTCAATGTCCGAACACATCATTTTTCACAGCGGCCTGTTGTAAATTTATCTGACGTTTGTCTTTTAGGTCTGATAAAACTGCGGGAACTGGTCAGGTCGCCGCACAACAAGAACCTCGAGGTGCACATCAGGCAAGCGCATCCAGAATCGTACCGCTCGGTCCTCAGAGAAGTGAAAACCAAAGAAATACACAACATCATCATCGACACGAAACCGACGAACCTGCAGTCCTTCCTCAAAGGGGTGAGCAGTGAGCCTACTTGAAATTTATTATGCGCAACACATGCGGCTTTGAAAAGAGACGTCGGACGATAAGAAGCTCGCACGTCACCCTCGAGAACTTATTTTCGATAGCGCGAACCGGCAACTTTATATCACTTGACCCTGTTCGTGGTTTCAATGGAAATCGGCGACTATATTGAGTGAAAGGGCGGAGGTAGTGATTTTCGAATGGGCTTTTAAGAGAAATACCTCTTAAAAGGATTAATGTTGCGTTAAAACGGAATGCGTGTTCATATTTGTGGCGCTTGGAATGTATCAACGATTACAATCACGGAAAATTTTTAAAAAATCAACTTTTAATTTTACGCATTCTACTTTTTTCGATGCCAGTATTGTCGACTTACTTTTTCTCTGGGAGTTTATTTTAAATCATAATTGTATTCAATTTTCTGAGAAATGAATTCTTATTCATCTGTAAAATTTAAACGGATTAATAGTATATGATGCAACAAGATGATACAGACTGCATAAACTTCCTGATCACTGTTCAAAGGGAATTTCTCTGTTTTTCTCTTTTCAGTGTTTATTATACGTTGAAATAATTATTAATCCAAGATAGAGATATTACCAAAAAAATATAGTCTGATTGGTCCATTTTGTTCTTCAGTTTCTTGTGCCACGGAATAAAAAAGATTGTTAAATTATTATATATAATTAATATATATATATATATATATATATATATATATATATATATATATATATATATATATATATATATATATATATATATATATATATATATATATATATATATATATATATATATATATATATATATATATATATATATATATATATATATATATATATATATATATATATATATATATATTAATTATATATAATAATTTAAGCTTTTGGTTCTTGGGTTATAGGTCTTTGTATTAAAAGCGATTGAAATTTTTTTGTCCATATATTTACGTTTCGGTCTTCTATGACCTTCTTCAGAAAGGGATACAGTGAAAAAGAGACAAACACAAATCTTAAAATTGAAGAGGTAGCATCATATGGAAGTTTATACTTTAAAAGCGTTTGGTTTTGTCATAGTGCCCTTGATAAAAGATAAAAGTCCAACAAAAAATGATTTGTATACGGCACTCACACACATAATACACACAAATTTATCGAAACAGTTAAAATATATATAAGAGTTAAAAAAAATAATAATAATAATAATACCTATATATATAATATATATGTTATATCCGGAAATCCTATTGTCCACATGGGTTAAATGCCACCGACCTGCAAGAGTGCAACGATTGCGAAAACGTCGTGTCAACGATATGTCGCAACATCCGCAGCCGTCGACCCCGTCAACGTCAGCATAAATTTATTATAAATACGAATTTCTATTGTAAAACATTGTCTGATAACATTCTCTCATCACGAGGTTATTATGTCCATTTTTAGTTTGATTTTAACGGTCTAATAACATTCTCTCGTCACGAGGTTATTACGTCCAATTTCATTTTGATTTTTATTTTAATTTAAAATTAATAAATATATTTTTTTAAAAAGTTATTTTTGAAAAGTGAAATATAAAAATTGGCGCAGTCAGTAGGATCCGTTCACGTTGCTAGAACACGAGTATTCTAACTAGTGACGGCGGATTCCAATCCCTTAGACGGAAAGAAGAACCATCGCAGCCCAGTCGTGCCGGAACAAGGAACCTTCCATCACCGTTTCGAGAGGCAAGAATTCGGAGTAGGATCTGTTCACGTTGCTAGAACACGAGTATTCTAACTAGTGGCGGCAGATTCCGACCCCTAAATCTAGGGAACAACGAAGACAGCCCATCGTACCGGAACAAGGATAAACCCATCAACCGTCTCGAAAGGCAGCAATGAAAATAGTACTGTAAGTGTTAAGAATCGTTACGAATAATTTTATTTTTAATTTGCAACATTGTTGAATTTATTACGTTCGATTACCCAAGGTTGAAAAAAAAAACTTATTTATTGAATTTCCCAACGTAGAATCGTTCCGCGATAATTATTTTGATTAATTTTAATTAATTTTAATTAATTCAATCGAACCTAGGACCGAAAGAATTTTCAAATTAAAATGTAGTTTAACAAACACAGACGCTATTCTCCACTCTCAAGAATGTGAAAAAGTTAGGTTACCTAATGCTTTAGTTAAAGTAAATAACAAAGGTGAATTTTTTACTACTGTTATTAACGCTAATGCTATCCCAAAAACTATAGATTTTTCAAATTTATCTATCGAACCTTTTAATACAAATCTTAACGAAAAAGAAATAAATAATATTTTCAATTTAAATCCTCAACCTGTTGATAGGCGCGGTATAATTCAATCCCAGTTACGCACCGATCATTTAAACGAAGAAGAAAAAGAATTAATAACACAATTATGTCTTGATTTTTCTGATATATTCTATTTAGAAGGAGATCATTTAAGTTTTACTAATGAAATTAAACATACTATTGAAACGAACAACGCCAGACCGATTTTTACCAAATCATATAGGTACCCACATGTCCACAAACAAGAAGTAAAGTCACAAATCAACAAAATGCTCGAACAAGGAATCATTCGACCTTCCACTTCTCCATGGTCTTCCCCTGTTTGGGTTGTCCCAAAAAAATTAGACGCTTCTATGAAACAAAAATGGCGCGTAGTCATCGACTATCGCAAACTAAATGAAGTCTCTGTCGACGATAAATACCCTCTTCCCAATATTTCCGATCTCTTAGACCAGTTAGGCAGATGTCAATATTTCACTACTTTGGACCTAGCCTCTGGGTTTCACCAAATTGAAATTGATCCCAAGGACGTTGCTAAAACTGCATTTTCAGTTGAAAATGGTCATTTTGAATTTCTCCGTTTACCCTTCGGACTAAAAAATTCTCCATCCACTTTCCAACGTGTCATGGACAACATTCTCTTAGGTCTTCAAAACGAACGATGTCTCGTTTACATGGACGATATTATCGTTTATTCCGCTACCATACACGAACATATACAAAGGTTAACTCATGTCTTCAAACGCCTTCGTAGTGCAAACCTCAAACTCCAACCTGACAAGTGTGAATTTCTTCGAAAGGAAGTAGCTTATTTAGGGCATCTCGTGACCCCAGATGGAGTCAAACCCAACCCTGAGAAAATAGACGCTATTCAAAAAATTTCAGAACCAAAATCACCAAAAGACATTAAATCCTTCCTTGGTTTAGCCGGTTACTACCGACGTTTTATTCCCAATTTCGCTAAGATCTCAAAACCTTTAACTAGACTTCTCCAAAAAGACACACCCTTCGTATTCAATTCAGAATGCAAAAATTCATTTAATGAGCTTAAAAACGCTCTAATACGTGACCCAATACTCATTTATCCAAATTTCGAGGAAACTTTTGTCCTAACCACCGATGCCAGTGCATTTGCCATTGGTGCAGTTCTTTCACAAGGTCCCAATGGAAAAGACCTTCCCATAGCATATGCCTCTAGAACTCTATGTAGTGCAGAGACGAAATATTCAACTATAGAACGGGAACTTCTCGCCATAGTATGGGCAGTTAAACACTTCCGCCCTTATCTGTTCGGAAGAAAATTTACTCTCGTTACTGATCATCGTCCTTTAACTTGGCTATTTTCGATAAATGATCCTGGTAGTCGTTTAGCTCGATGGCGTCTTAAGCTTGAAGAATACGACTATACCATTGTGTATAAGCCCGGTAAAATAAATAAAAACGCAGACGCTTTATCCCGTGTTAAAATTAACCATATTCAAGATTGTGTCGATCTCCAAAAGAAAATTTTTATCCTTGCATCTAATAACGATGACATTCACAACCGACCATCCACAAGTAAAGAAGAAATCGTTCACGTTGACAATTCTAATAATTCAGATATCGAAGACGACACAGCGGAAGTTACAGAAGAATACAACAACTTCGCATACCTTCACAAAACCACATCCCTTATAGATTATTCCAAAATAGAAACCTCTAATTCGCAACTTCTCGACAAAAACCACAAAGATATTGTCACTTTCTTTTGGCAATCAAAACTTGATGATTTGCATAACAAAATAATGGACGATATTTTTGAAGAAGATATAAATTTTACGTTTAACAAAATTAACATTTCTTCTAGCAAAACCGTCAAAGGCAGGAAATATTATATAATCCCTCTTCCATATGACAATGAAACTGTAGTTCAACATTTATTCTATATTTTATTCACAGCTAAAAATGACTTTGATCTTTCAAAACTGTATTGTATTGAAAATAATTTACAACTTCCAATATTAGAAGTATTCTCCTTTATATTTTCCGAAAAGGATATAAAACTAAGAATCTGCCAAGATATAGTTCGAACTCCCGATCAAGACGAAATCCCTATCATTTTAGACCAATACCATTCAGGAAAAAATAATTTACATCGCGGAATCAACGAAACAGTTAAGCGCATAAAGCAAAAATACAATTGGCCAACCTTGACCAAAGATGTCGAAAACTATATTAGAAAGTGCGAAATATGTCAAAAAGTCAAGATCTATCGTAAAAACCTCAACACACGATTAGTTATCACAGAAACTCCTAAAACTCCTTTTGAGCGCATTAACATCGATATTTTCGAATTCCCAGTTCGTAATTACGCCCTTACCATAAGAGACGAACTCACAAAATTCACCCAGGCATATCCAATAAAAGACAAAAAAGCTTCTACAGTCGTTACTACCCTTCTTCTCTACTTCCAACATTTTGGAACTCCTCTTAGAATACATTGTGACCATGGCCGGGAATTTGATAACTCCCTCGTCAAAGATCTTTGTCTTTTGTACGATATAAAGTTAACTTTCTCCAGCGTTAGCCACCCACAATCTAATGGATCACTAGAAAGATTCCATGCCACGCTCACAGAAATGATCCGAGCTCATAAAGCCGAAAATCCAAAAGAACACCCCTTTCATGCTCTTCCATACGCAATAATCT